CTAGTCGTGAGCACGTCTAACTGATGTGTCACAAAGGGCCCCCAAAAACAAATTTCATTGAAGTTAAATGGTTTATTTGTCTAATAGGAACATATAAAAGTAAAAAAACATAATACCTAACTTGGAACTAAGGTAACTCAAAAAATAAACTAAAAAAAAGTTACTCGAAAAAAATTGAAAAAAATAAAATGGTACTAACCTTGTTAGTACCACCTAAATGGTGTCACAATTTCACCACGAAATTTGTTGAAATTTTATTAAATATGGCGTCACATGCTTGTTGATTAGAATTATGGAAATGTTAATTCATCAGTGAATAGCCTAAACTACAAAGAACACTACCTAAACTCAAATCCTGGCTACATGAGATAGTCTCAGTTGGGCAAGGTAAAGTTTACAGCAGAAGTAAGATATTGAAATTATCTGTTGTTGATATTTTCCGCACGCACAGCTAGACGCCGTCCTTCACAACAATAATTGATATACTGATTTGTTGACGCGCTTTTTGGCATGCCTTAAGCACAATCGCGAGGCTGTCGGTTGAGAAATGCGCGAAATGTTGAGGATTTGATGAGCCCGCTACCATGTGTCACAAAGTCACCTGGCCGTTCTAAAGTAACCCCGTTTTACGGTATATGTTTCATGAAAAAAACCTGCATGTTCAAAATTTTGAAATTCGCTCAATATAAGGGTGGTTCAATTCAACAGGGTGATTCGTATTCGTTCCTTCTTCATCGCAAACTCTATATATATTGGCTATTACCTCCCTTGTTTGGCTATGAAGATTTTTTTTTTGCGTAAATTTGTCCATCTTTTAAAACACCTTTTGGCTACGCCACTGAATAAAACTTTGATTGAAACAAAATTTAAAATGTGCCCGCCTAGCTGATGGCGGCGACGGCGCCATCGCCTAGCTGTGGTGGGATCCAATCGCTCAGTCATTTTTTCCTATTTAACATACGGAGAGTACGGCTCGATTCGAAACGTTTGACATAAGTGATCTCAGTGATGCCGGATTTCGGAAAAAAAATGGATTTTCAATGATGTATGATTTATTAAAAGGATAAAATGAATGTTTAAAAAATATTAATTATGGTATCATTATATTTTTATGATATTTTTCGAATATTATTCGATTTGAAGAATAGTATTCTCCATATTTCGAAGACGAAGGAGATTTTATTGCAATTTTCATGTATTATTATTATTGATATGACAACGCCGCAATGACGAATTTTCCCCTCTGCCTCTTCAGACTGCGCAGTTCAAGAACCATGCAACTGACTTTACATCTCGTGTGCATCTTCGTCTTTGCCTATTATCTTAATCAAAATTAAATAATTTTTTCCAGCATAAATTTAAATTCTAAACTACGGCCGCTGGCGCAAACAGCTGACTACTGGGTTAGTGACGTCGGCAATGGTGCTATATCTTATGATCGCGATTACCAAAAACGAGGCCGATTAGCAATCCTGTAGTGTAGTAGCGTGTATTATCCTTGATTACTGAGTGGATATTACGTGACTAAATAAACCTTTACAAACAGTGGTGGCAATAGGTGGGTTCGGGGTGACTGTTCTATAAACTCCAAGTTCACTAAACACTACCGACACCTACCGATGCGTTAGAGTATTGGCATTATCAGCTAAAAGAGTAACTCCACATGCGTTCGGGAACTTTGAGAAGGACGAGCGGGAGTCAAAAGAGCCTACTCTGAAAGCACTACCTCGTCATTAGCAAGCGCCAGAGCGGGCATGCGCAGTGTGTTCGTTTTCGTAATTTGGTGTCTGTGTCCTGCTTTTTTTTGAACCTTGGTGTGCGACCATTCGACTAATCGACAGTCAACAGAACAATATTTCATCTGTGATTAGCCTGGTAAATGGACAGAATAAATTTTAAACTGCTTATTTCACATGCGAGCAACGCGTAATTTCACTGAAATTTTCAGTGTTAATGACTTCTTCAGATAAGACTCCGAAATAAACTTCCTAAACAAAAGTAAATATGGACACGAAATACCCAAAATTCGTTTTGTTATTAGTTGTATTTCTTTCACACCTAGAAGGAGCTCCGGAACAGCTCTGGGGAGTTACGCGCTTATTCCTTTAAAAAAAAGTGTCTGCTGCACCTGACGTGCTCAAGCCTGAACTCAAACCATTTAATGCACGAAAGCCAGCGCATCTATCCCTTTCAAATCGGGGTCGACTAACACCGGAGCGAGTAGCTCTAGTGCTTTAAACTGTTAAAAGGAATACTATGTATTTGAATATGGGTCGGTTTCTCAATAGCGAGAAACCTCCAGGCTGGTTTCAACTACAGGATAAACGTGTCCAGTTGCAATGTTTACCCTGGGGTTAGGCTTGACCCGGGGGTAACTTGCCATTGAGAACCCGCCCTATGACACAAACCACAAATAATAAAATAAATAGAAAACTTAAAAAAGACGTAAAATAACGTTTATTTTGAAAATAATTGTTAGTCATTAGGGTTAGTTAAGACACTCCAAACGCACTCTGGTTGTTCGGTTTCACTAACCTACTCCAAAAGATTTTTGGTCACTGATAAAAACGCGACTCCATTCTGCAAGTCTACTCCAGCTCCGCTCGACAATCCCGAATCCAACTAATAGAAGTCCCGCCGCCATTTTCTTGCTTACCTTGTGCTAATTTTAAATTTGAATATACATAAAGGATTTAAATGGACATCTATCATGAAAAATTGAAAACAACGTAGGTATTTGATTACTATTAATAGGTACATCAAATTCGATGTTTTCAATTTTCTATGGTGGAAGTCTACTTAAATTATTCATATTTAAAATTAGCAAGAGGTAAGCAGTAAAATGGCGGGATTTCCAATATGAATATATTATAGGCTTTTAAACAACCAATCAAAAATAAGACGGCAATATTTGTCGCCAGTGTGGTTTAATAGAGTCACTGTAGTGGATATTACAGTGACTCTATCACCACAGTGGCGACAATTGCCGTTTTCATTTTGATTGGTTGTTTAAACTCCCATATATTAACAAGAAAAACGCCGCTATTTTGTGCCCAACCTCTCGCTACTTCTAAATATGAATATATAGGATTTGAATGATGGACATCCATCATACAAAATCGAAAACAACGTATCCGATGACTTTGATTAGGCACATCGTCAACAGTGCCATCTTTTAGTTCGCGGAGGATTAACCGAACTAATTGACCTATCCATTTTACCAGACAGAGGTAAAAAATACGAAAGATCGCCTGACGAGCATCGTATTTCACAAATAAAAACCGTTCAACAACTCAAACAACTTTTAAAGTTGCATAAATCGAATTTTCGCTACGAACTACTTCCGTGATTTCATGAACACAAACGCTTTCGCGAGAAACTCATGACGTCATATTGAACTTAGTTTGCCGGAAGCATGGACGCAGCTTCTAGCCACCGTTGAAACTAATGACGTCACAAGACGAACTATGGTTTGTCTTGGATGAACTACATTCGTGGCGGAAATTCGGTTATAGTCATGATGCGGTCTTGAAAATGGATCACTTATCAAGCTACGTCAAGTTGAATCAAGGATGATACACACTACTACTACAGGATAGCCAATCCTCATAAGGCCAGTGTGGGACAAATCTGAAGCCCCCCCTCCCGCGGCTCACCAGTTGTGACGTAGGCAGCATGTCCTTTCTCGCCTCGCCTTGACGTAGGCTGTTTGCACTGCAGCTTATGATTCCGCGGGCTTTTGTTTTATAAATACTTGGTTTTACTACACTAATTAACATTCTTTCTTTAGATCTCGTTTTCATCTCCCTATTTGCTTATTATGTTAATCAAAATTAAATAATATTTTTCATCATAAATTTAAATTCTAAACTACTATAGCTACGCTAGTGCAAAGAGCTGACGACTTAATTATGACGTCGTAAATGGTGACACACCAATATGGCGGCGATTACCAAAAACGAGGCCGAAAAGCAATCCTAAGGACCGGTTTCTGAATAGCGAGTCATTTCCGGGTTGTTTTCAACTCCAGAGTACATCTGTCCAGTTGCTATGTTTACCCTGGAGTTATGCTTAACCCGGGGGTGACTTGCTATTGAGAAACCGGCCTTAGTAGTGTGTATTCTCTTTGAAGTTGAATAGCAACAACCCTAATTTTAGCCTTGTCACACTACAGGCAATAAACAAGGAGAAGGACATGCCCAGCAAAACAAACAACTCACACCTGAGCCGTTTTCTCGCGTTTACTTTTTCGACATTGATTCAAAACCGATTTTGAACCAATGTCCAAAAAGTGAACCCGAGAAAACGGCTCTGAGGTGTTTTCTCGCGTCTCAAATGTTTTAGAACGTTTTTAAAAACTGGTTTAAGACAGTGTCACATGACGTCATAACTTCTCGGCGCGAGAAAATGGTTAAAAAACGTGGATTGGATTGTATTTTGGAACGGTTTGAACCAACTTTGTGTGTCATGGATTCATCGCGAGAATATAGTGTTTCAAACCTGTTTTGAACCAGTTTCAAAAAAGTGAAAGCGAGAAAACAGCTCTGTACTAGTTAGCCAATAAAAAGGCATTGCCTCGTTTTGCGCGCGCATACTGGTAAAAATAGAATAGATAGGTCAATTATAATTTATAGGTCGAGGTCCCCGAATATTTTCGAACCACAAGAAACGAAGTAAAAATATCTGTATTTTCGAACACAACACCTGGGGTGCCCACTAAGGGCTTTTTCGAACGCACCCATGGAGATCCGTCTGCTTACGTTCCGGTTATTCCGCTGATTGTTCTGATTTTAAATTGATTTAAAATTTAGTTAGTAATTTATTATTTTACTATTCTATTACTTCGAAATAATATATAAAAAATTATTTGGAAAACAAGTCAAAAACGAACCGCTTAAACAAAATATAAAAAACATCCGCTATTTATTGAAATATTTGAAATCGCCTTTTCAGCACCGCGCCACCGCCACCGCGCGCATGACTGTCATTGGACGAGAGCCGTTAAATAGACCAATAGACGGCATCCAGCACAGCTTAGAATCAGCCAATGGCATACGACCACGAGTGAACATAACCTCATAATCTGTCCCTGTCCTGCCTGCAACAATTTCAATAGGTGCAGCGTATTGTCGTCGTTGTATTTACATTTATCAATATATTTTTCAATTTCAATATCATCAGGCCCCACACCATTCCATTCAATATGATGCCCATGAGCTCGACTTACGGGCTGCCGCCTCAGACCATTCCATTCAATATGATGCCCATGAGCTCGACTTCCGGGATGCCGCCTCCCCATGCGGCCCCTGCTTTGCCACCGCCTGCTTCTACAGTGTCCAACATATCATCAAGGAACATGAAACCGAATTATAAACTGCAATTTACACTGGCTGGACACATCAAAGGTGTTTCATCTGTAAAATTCAGCCCAAATGGAGAATGGCTGGCAAGTGGTTCGGCTGATAAGTTGATTAAAATTTGGGGAGCTTATGATGGCAAATTTGAGAAAACTTTTAATGGCCATGAGTTGGGTAAGAGTTGAATTATTATATATGTATACATATTATACCTTAAGTTGTTTGTGATTGGGGAATGCAAACAAAAAAAAAATCTTCAAAAGTTTTCCAAGCCTTCGGTGAAGGAGCGTAAGATTGTTAATTAGTGCCTTCAACTATAATTTAATTATATGCACATTTTAATGTAGATATCATGATGATTGCCTCGATTTGTGTATTTTTCAAGTCGTGCTAACCTTTTCTGAAGCTGGCGGAACATGTTTTTTTTTTTAAAAAAAAAGGTGTTTGTAAAATTTTAAGTTTAAGTAGTGCATTTAAATAGCATCCAATTATAGGATATCATGATGATTTATGAAGTTTTCAAACCATGCTAAAGTTGGCAGAAAATGACGTTTTTTTAAGAAAAAAATAAGAATTAAACTTTCAGTTGGTGCATTTAATTAGCATTTAATAATTATTCAATAATGGTATAATTGCATTTGTCTTCTGCTGCTGAGCTTGCTCTTCCAGCTTTAGGGACATACTGATACCATTTTTTTTACATTTTACATTACAATTTAACATTACATTGCATATTTTCCATCAGTTAGGTACTCTTATCCCTCGTCTTATCCACTTCATCAAATATATATCTGAAAGTCTGAAAAATGGTCAGCTTTGTAGATTCTGCAAGTTCAAATCCAAACACTATTCTTTAACATAGGCAATTTATCAATGTTATATAGGTAAATCGAGCTTTTGCAAATCCTTGAGAGTGAGGGTGGCAGAGTGACTTAAGAAGTTGGTGACTCATCAAGCACTAGTTTAGCTAAAAAAAAAAAAATGAAAAAAAGTGCTCATAAGCCTCCGCTTAAAAATGTTTTGTTTATTTTCAGGTGTAAGTGATGTAGCTTGGTCAAGAGACAGTCGTTTGTTAGTCTCAGCTAGTGACGACAAAACTTTAAAGATCTGGGAACTAGCATCCGGCCGATGCCTCAAAACTTTAGAAGGTCATAACCACTATGTGTTTTGCTGCAACTTCAATCCCCAGTCTAATCTTATAGTATCTGGTTCATTCGATGAATCTGTGAAGATATGGGATGTGCGCAAAGGAAAATGTCTCAAAACTTTGCCGGCTCATGCTGATCCTATTACTTCGGTAGACTTTAACTACGACGGTTCTCTGATTGTTAGTGGTAGCTTTGATGGGTTGTTTCGAATTTGGGACACTGGCTCTGGCAACTGCTTGAAAACATTGATCGAGTGTGGGAATTCCCCAGTTTCCACTGTCAAATTTTCACCAAATGGAAAATATATCCTAGCTGCTACTTTAGATAGCACCATAAAGTTATGGGATTATGCCAAGGGTAATTGCGTGAAAACTTACTCTGGTCACAATAACGAGAAATATTGCATTTTTACAAACTTTGTGAATGGAAAATGGATTGTTTGTGGATCGGAGGATAATATGGTTTATATTTGGAATTTGCAGACAAAAGAAATAGTACAGAAATTAGAGGTAAGATTTTTTTTTCTTCATGCTAAAACTTATAGGTTTTTTTCTTCTAAATATTCATAGTCATCGCAAAAAAAAATGTGTGCTCCTTACTTTTGAAGGTTCTCAGGCAGGGCTACCTAAACATTTTATCCTTGAACACTTAACTAGTGTTGTGAATGATGGAACGTTCCCGTTTATTCTCGAGGAACGTTCTCGAACGTTCAAGACTAAATGAGAACGTTCCTTCTCAAAAGCACAAATCAGCACGAACGAGAATGTTCCTTGATAAAAATTAGTATAATAAATAACATTTATTTTCCATCACTGAGATCCGGGGATCGAGAATAATTCCTGACAGTCGACAGCCAACTCAGGGTTTGGTTTCAGCGATTCACACGCCGGTTTTTGTCGTCCCGTTTGCTGGTTTTAAATTTAGTATCCATTTTTAAGCGTATAGTATAGTATAGTGTTTACTTCTCGGTTTACTTTTTATTGAAAATTCCTAGAAAAAAGTGTAATATTTTCAAGTTTTTTGTGTTGAAATCGATGGCTTATTCACAAGTTGGTCATTTTCTATAGAAACACTTTATTTATAGATCTAGCAAATATAAGCAGATATTTTTTCATTTCTTATTATTTCCCATTACTTTTTTTCTTTCATGCTCATTATTCTCGTTCGTGCTCGGAGAATGATCTCCAAAAATAAATTCTCGAGCATTTTACAACACTAAAGACTACCATAGAGGTTGAGGCCTCATATTTTGAATGAGTATGTATTGCACAAATTTGTATATCTTAATTTCAGCCTGGAGGTTAGGTTATTAGTAAAGGCCGAGTTTAAGGCATATATGTATATCATGACGCCATTGCGGCTGCTCTTTCCGTCTCTACCCTGGCAACTCCCAAGCTCAAATGTGGCACCATTTTAGCCAATCAAATTTTTTCATTTGCATTAAAAAAGTTTCTGCCAGCTGTAACTGGAATAATATATTTGCTACCAGGAATCGCCTAGAGCCTTGAAGTATTTTTCCATTTAGAAGTTAAAAACTGACAACAACAACAATAGATCACATAAGGGCCCTAAAGTTTTCTTAGCTAATAGGTGTTGCACATATTTATGTAAGTTTACCAATAATATTTCTTTTTGAAATTATTCTCTTGAAATACAAGTCAGTGAATTGAACTCTGATTGAGGTTTCAAACATTTTTTTTTCTTCAGTTGCAAAGCAGCTGATATTATCTTCTGCCCAGGTTTATGATCCCTATGGCCTTTGTGCTGAATACTTTTGTGGACGCTTTTTCTCTTTTTCTACTTGGGCCGGCGGTTCAGGCCGTGAGAAAAACAAGAACTGAGGCCAGCTCCTCTGGTGACAACGATCTTTGGAATAAGATATTGCTTTCTCCCCCTGACTCTGCTGAGAGCCCTGATCCTTGACCCAAATTTCGTCTTTGTCAGTCTGGTTTAGGTAGCTCTTCATTATAAAGAGGTAGACAAACATATTATGCACTACCTCACAGAGACGAAGATTGGAGCCCTGCAGAGTTGACAAAATCACTTGTGGAGCACAGGCAAGTTTTTAGCCTCTATGAAGACCAAGGGCGATTCCCGAGGTGATTCCCTAACACAAGGGAGGCAATCTGGGCAACCTCACCAACTTTGAACCCATTTCTCTGCTCTGTTTTCCGTGATATCGAAGAAACTTATTCGGAAAGCTAGCAAAGGGCCTTTTCTGTGTGTCACGGAAAACTCTTAGCTTAAGTTTTCAATAAAATTCACGCTGACTTGTTAAAAATTGAAATTTCGCCTGAGGATTCTCACATTTGCTTCATTGCTTCGGGCAGTAAATCCACTTTGATGAAAATCTTAAACAAGAGTATTATATTTTCGAAAAGAATAAAATATCTATGAGGTTGAAAATTTCCTACAGGCACTTCAAAACTAGAAAAATTTATAATCATTCAAACGTGCCAGACCATCATGATGTGTAAGCATCATACACCAATCAAATTAAAGAAGAGTGCTCCAGCGACAAAGCGCACTCAGCTGTTGCAGTTGCCGCTGATAAAAGGTTTTTTGCGGTGGATAATGATACTTCAAATTTTTTTTTTTTTAAATCTCGAATCCCTGACATTTAACTATCTTTCTTGATATTTTGTCAACATTTTAGAATTAAAACTATTACAAATTGTTAATGCTGGGAATTAGTGGCAATACTGTCAAATTCTCTGTGAAATTGCTTTATCCAATTTCAAAAATGAGTGAAATGCCTATTGTGGGAGACGTAACTGTAAATTCTCCGTCAGTTCCATCATGCACTTTATGTTTCAAAACTTCTATACATACACAATTTCAATAAGAATTATAGTGTGGGTGGAAATGGCAAAAAATTAGATTAAAAGATTTTAATTTTGTGTAAAAGAATATTTAAGCAATTGAAAAAATATTTTGGAGTGTGGTGGGAGACGTAACAGTGAATTCCCCGTCACTTCCATCATGCACTTTATGTTTTAAAACTTCTACATACACAATTTCAATAAGAATTATAGTGTGGGTGGAAATGGCAAAAAAATAAAATTATAAGAGTGCAGCAATTCTGATGTGAAATTTTTTTTCTCCTTGAAGTCGTAATTAAAAAAAATTAATCAGCACAAAACTGATTTCAAGTTCATTACCGCCCACTTGAGATGCGAGCCTGGCTTGTGCCATGTGCTTGTCGAGGATCGGCTTGTTAATCAAGGCAATGTGCTGAATAAAGGATCATTTATTATTATTGACAAGAAGTGGAAAAGGCCAAGCCACACTACGATGTTCAATCCCATGGCGTGCGGCTCCGCAAGTCACCACCCAGGCTTGCCAATCCACTCGCTGCTGGATCTCCCCGCTAGCAAATTGCAGCTACACCTGGATTTGAAAATGCAGCAAGCAGCCAAAACATTTATTTTTCTGCCTTGTATCATGAATATTCAACAATCTGTTAACTGTGGCCTCTTCCTGAAATATTATTTTTAATGGGCATTTTTGTTCTCTTTCAGGGTCACACAGACACAGTAATTGGTACGGCATGCCACCCAATGCAAAATATAATCGCAACATCGGCTTTAGAAAATGATGCAACCATAAAACTGTGGAAAAGTGATTGTTAAATTCAAGCTACCATTTAAGGTTTCTACAAATTTATGTTTTTGCTACCATTTAAGGTTTCTACAAATTTATGTTTTTAGTTTTATATTTTCTTTTCACCTTATCGCTTTGCGTTTGTTCAAAAAGCCTACATTTCTTCAAGTTGGATCTCATATTTTTTATTTAAAACCCCAAAGTCAATTGAAAATACTTTGTTACTACACTACACCCCCTGGAAAAATTACTGTGCAACTTTTCCACATTCATCATTATTTCCCTTGACTCTAAGGAATAGTATAAATTGTATCACCAATAAAACCTTGGTCTGAGGTTTCCTCAGACCTACATCAAAAAATGTTGGCTTTTTGAATTAACTCATATCAGCTCAAACTAGAATTAATAATTTAGAATAAGAGTTTTTTTATTTTATTTATCACTTCCAAACTGTTGGACACTGATAACGTTTTGTAGTTTAGTTTTAGTTTTTAGTTTTCATTTCCCCAGAAAATGGAGGGTTCAGTTATAGACGTCAATACAAAGCCTAATTTAACTATTTTTTTGAGTTGCATTTGATTAATTTAAATTAATCAGATAATACACATTCAAAAAATAAAAAACCCTAGGTCGTTTTTACGTCAGATACTACTAATAAAATGGTATTTTTATATTTGATATAATTTTTTGAATACCTATGTAGAAACGGTAAAGGCCTGCTCTATTTCTATTAAAGAAATAAAGATGTTTTAATATATTTTTTTAAATCTACCATTTTCTATTTAATTTTTTTCAATTTACTAGCTGAAGTCCAGCAGCTGGACTCAGCCGTAGGGTTTCGAGAAAGCTCATTAGCATTTTAGGATGTCATTTACAGCTGATCCGCCCACGTTCTTTAGCCAGTAGCGCGGCAGGAGAAATTTATTAATGTTCTGAGTAATTTCTATTTTTATCGTCATCCTTTTTTGCTATTTTTGTTGATAATTTTTGTACATTTCTGGTATGTGAGAGAACCTTCAAAACTATTGTAATCAAACTGACCAATCGATGTTTGGATAGACTCACTTGGATGTTCTTGGAGAATGTCACACCAAGTTTTGTTCTTGCAAAAATGTGAAATTAATAATATAAATTCAACCTGATTTTGCTGGTTAAGAGCGTCGCCTATTCGTTTACTGAGCGGACATTGGCACCTGCACTAGCTCCACCCAGAGCTCCACTTTTAATGGCTCTCTGGACTAAACTAGGTGTGAAGTCATTTGTTTCAAAGCATCCATAAATAACGCTGCCTCTTCTTACTATACTGCTGTTAAAATAATGGGAGATATAATTTCTCGCTACAAAGTTTCTAAAATTTGAAAACATAAAAATGTTTAAAAATTGGATATCAATTTCTTTACGAAGTTTGGTTCACTGCAATCAGGGTTCCTTTCAAAAAATTGCAAGTCGTTTCCTATGGTAGGTAAAGGTAAGCAATTACTTTCAATAATCAATAGGTAATGATTATTGTAAGTTGTATTGGTCAGCAAAACGATAGTTCAACCATTCCTAAAGGTAAAACTGATTTTTGCTGACTTATCGCAGAGTTGATCGTTAGTAATAATCGAATCGAGGCAGGGACAGGTTCCTTGCAGACCTCTCAAAATTTGTGCTGAAGAATGGTGATTCACGCAATGTATTATGTAAGTAAGATCCAAGTTTATTAGGTTTTTTTGTACTTATCGCAATTAATTCAACCAACATTCCAGCTGTATTCTCAATTTATTTAACGGATACTGAATACATTTTTCTACATTAGCGGCAGTAAAATTTTAAGTCATAGCAATCCATTTTTATATACAGGGTGTTCCGAAAAGATACCGACAAACTTTAAGGGGTAGTAAGGGACATCAAAATAAGCATTTTTGTTTATATAAACATATGTCCGCAAATGAGTCATTTGGGCTTGGAATTAAATCACTGTTTACTTATTAATTTTGCTTCCTTAACAAATAAATTATGGTTTACAATAATTGTTCAAAATGTTGACCATTTACTTCAATGCAAAGATTGCACCGTTGGGACACTGACACACGATCCCTTTGGAATATTCCGGGAATAGCTTCTACATGGGTACAACTTGCCAGTATCCTTGCTAACAGATCTTCCTTATTACGAACAAGTGTTTTGTAGACTAAACTTTTCAGTCAATGACCCGATGGTACAAGCTTTGTATTGAAGTAAATGGTCAACATCTTGAACAATTATTGTAAACCATAATTTATTTGTTAATAAACCAAAATTAATAAGTAAACAGTGATTTAATTATTGCGAAGAATAAAAGTACCGAACAGTTTTCTTGCTCTACAGCCCAAATGGCTTATTTGCGGACATATGTTTATATAAACAAAAATGCTTGTTTTGATGTCCCTTACTACTCCTTAAAGTTTGTCGGTATCTTTTTGGGACACCCTGTACATAACCCTTTCACCGAGTGCTTGATTGCTGCATTATGATTTTCTTGTTCAAGTAAACAATTTACAGGGTGACCTATTATAAATGTCACCCCCTACTTACTTTTGTCAAATACAAAACTTATGTTATGTAAGTGGCACGATTAGTTATTGCTAAATAAACGAAATAAATAAAAATTTTAAGAAATTTTTAAAAGTTTTTAACTAAGTCAGTTTTAATAATAAAGGGTGCGTCAAAAAAGTATAGCAGAGCAAAGATGTATTTTTTTAAATGGAAGACCATATATATTGTGCGCTCATTTATTAGTCCCCTTCAACCTGATTTCAACGATATATGCTTTGATATGTTTATCTTTCGGTTTATCTCCAATAGTTATAGGGAAAAACACGAAAATCCCTTCCCATCTGGATTTAATATACTATTTCATTTTGTAAATAAATGAATAAAATTTGAACAATAAACTGTTAATAAAAAAAAAATCTAAAGCTCAAATGGTATATTTTTACTTTCTTCAACATGAAACCTTGAAAGGGGTTTTCATTTTTTTCCCCTATAACTATTGAAGATAGACATATCAAACCAAATATCATTGAAATCAGGTTAAAGGGGACTAATAAATAAGCGCACAATATACAGGGTGTTCCATTCGAAAAAATATATAACTTCGCACTGCTACACTTTTTTGACGCACCCTGTATGCCTAAAACTGACCCAGTTAAAAACTTTTGACAATTTCTTAAAACTTTTGTATTTGACACTTTTGTCAAAAATGTCAAATGAAAAAGTTAGGAAGGGGTGACATTTATAATAGATCACCCTATACCAAATGCTAGAAATGTGTGTTCTTGGACTTATTGTTTACTAATAAATGTGATTTACTAATCGAGATTGCTCAAGACACCTTAGTGAGGTGTGATCGTCATCATCCTGCCACACTTTTTGATATCGATGTCAATAGTCTAATTTTTGTTCAGCATGATAGGGTGGAGTTTCGATATAACTTTGAAAACTGTGATTTAAGCAATCTCAACCATATTTTATTGAATATTGATTCGGATCTCATATTGGATTGTAATGTAGATATAGGTTTTAGGTTTTATGATATTGTTAATCAGTGTATTGAGGAACTTGTACTAAAATATAAAATCAAATCTGATTATAAGTTCCCTATTTGGTTTGATCAAGAGCTTAAAAACTATACAATAGAAACTTAAAAAATTTCACAACCTGTACAAATCTAACTCTACTCTAACTAATCATCAGAAATTTAGAGAATTTGGAAAAGTTTTTCTCAAAATTGTTATAGGAATTACATAGATGTTCGAGCTTTCTGTAACTATGTAGATTCAAATGAAGATAAAGCAAAAATCCCAAAATTAATTTTTGTTGATAAAGATCTAAATTTGTCAGACAGCAACTTACACTTATCCACTAATATTAGGTCTAATTCTGCAGAAATCACAAACCAGTCAGAGTAAATTTCATTGGTTGAAACTAGTTTTCTGACCGTTTCTGACTGTTTTCAACCAATTAAATTCGTTCTGACTGGTTTGTGATTTCTGCAGAAACAGACCTAATACAGTAGACTCGCGCTAGTGTGAACACACGCTTCTATGAACCTCCCAGTAGTATGAACAGCCAGAATGAATACATTATGTATTCTGTAGTGAGAACTTTTGGGAATCTCGGTAGTATGAACAATGCATTTGACCGCGAATTTAACCGTTTTCTGTCTACTTGTTATTTTCATCGGTTGTTTCCGTCCAATTCTGAGGTTCCCTAAATGTTTTGAGACAAGGAATGCACAGATATGTTGAGATACTGCACTCACTCTAATCTGGAATACACAAGTGGCAGCGAGTCAAGAGCACGTTCAAAAGTCTATAAGTTTTTAGTTCGTTGTTTGTTGGGGTTAATCAGTTTTGTGAAAATGGCGAAAAACACAATTTTCTCTATAGGTCTGTTCTCACAAGAGTCTCTGACAGTTTGCAAACTGTCAGAATGCATCGCCGATGCATGTTTTCATTAATGTCGTTCCAAGATAAATCAGTAACTTAGCTGAGGTATTGTTTCTGATAGTTTCGCAACTGTCAGGGACTTTTGTGAGAACAGACCGCATGAGAAGTCAAAAATTCTAGCAGCAAGTATCTATTGTATTAATTTTTCTTGAATTTTAAGTTTAGAGAACATTGCTGACAATATTTTGGAGTTTTGGGTAGACCTTCGATGGTGTGAACATCTCGATAATATGAACACGTCCGGTTTTTTTGTGTTCACACTAGCGCGAGTCTACTGTATAACTGTTAGCTCTTTCAATTTTAGTACCTACATCAAAGATTCTTGAAAAGTTGGAAAAAATAAATTTGAACAAGGGACCAGGACCAGAGAACCTCCCTCCTGCTTATTGCTAAACTAAACTGTGCTTTTTCTCTATCCAGACCTCTATAGCTACTTTTCAACAACTCAATATTAAATGGAAAATTTCCCTCAATATGGAAATTTACTCATGTGAAACCTATTTAAAAAAATATCGGTAGTAGGCATGAAAACAAAAATTATAGACCTATTTCTAATATACCTATCTCTTATTGCTAAAATTATGGAGAGTACTGCAGAAATAATTGGTGCATTTCGATTAAAATGTTTCTTAATGTTGAAAAGTACAAATTTTTCAAATTTTCAAAATCTTCAACGAAAAAAATTAACTCTTATCATACAAACACCAACAGGTTAGAACAGGCAGATATTGTTTGGGTGTATTAGTTGACTTCAAACTAAGTTTTTCATATCATATCGATGATTGTAGGAATAAAGCGCCAAGGACATTAGGTTTCATAAAAAGAAATACCAAAGATTTTGATAATAATATATTTGTCATAAAATTGTTATATTGCCCTTGTCAGGCCTCACCTGGAAAATTTAGTTCTATAATCTGGATTCCTTACTACTCAACTTAAGTACATTGATAAATTAGACAGTGTACAAAGAAAGTTTTTGAGATATATTTCCCACCCTACAAGTTACACTTAAATGTCGAAAATGTAAACTATGGCAATCTTGAACAAACTCTATCCATTCAAAGTCTTAAAAGACGGTAGAGATAATATGGACATTATTACTTGCTTTAAATTGGTTAACAATGCACTGAATTGTCTCGAACTGGTTTCTAACTAAGCTTAAATTTTATGTTCCACAAAGAATTCTTAGCAAATATAGAACTTTTGAGACATTTTTTTTTTTATTGAATGTTTATGTTCTTTGAAAACAAAATTGAAGAGGAGGTTCATTTTCTAAATGTGATAATAGTTTGTGTTGTTTTTATATACATTTTCGTTGTTCGCAAGGTCTTGAGCAAGGTGGACCGTCGCGTGCTTTCTATGCTGAAACCGATTTTTGAAATTTTTTAAAAGAAGACAGTTCCAAATTTTTGATTTATCAAAAATAGTTCTTCCAACCCTTCTGGCCACTATTTTAAGCTTCAACTCCTTGAATTAAAAAATAAGACTACGCAATTTTCATTATCCTTGGCAATTTTCAACACCACTTCTATCCTCTAGCAAACTTAAAGATGATACAGAAAGCCGCACCAAAATTAAATCAAAATATTTTTATCTGCCTATAGATGAACAGCAAATCGCAAGGCAACAATGAAATAGACGAATCGCTAATAGACTGTGAGATAGGGGCTGTTTAGTGGAGTAATTTTTTTTTGTCTGGCACTTTGAGGGCTGAATGTGGCTACTAAGCTAATGAGAATATGGGTGATTTTAATGCCTGCCTCCCGTTCGAAAATTTGCAGAAGAAAAAAATTGATTTACAAGAGGAATTTTTTTTTAATGATCTCAATTTTTTTTCTCATCAGCTAACTAGCAACATTCATCCCTCAAAATGCCAGACCAAAAAAAATGACTCCACATAACAGGCCCTATCTCACGGTCTATAAGGACATTTGAAATTCTTTGTGCATTTTATTATATTTTTTTATAGGTAGGCTTTTGAATTTGATGCAGAAAAATCGCGAGTCTCTCGTATTTGTTTTAATATTTAGCAAACTTTACGACAGAGAGTTGTTAAAAATTCGAGTTTCAAAGAAACAATAGAATAGATAATCTTTTAAACCCCTCAGAGTAACCCACCATTTTCATTAGCCCCATTAATACAAGTTTTTTATAGGTGAGTACCTGTTCAAGACAATCTACCGGACCAAACAATGGGTTTTGTGGGGGGTATTTTTGTAAACTATACAAAGTATGTTTACAATGTTATGCACGCCAATGAACTAGAAGGTGTAGGTGGGTGTGTTCGGGGAGCACGCTATGCAACGCAAACTGCCGCAACCGCTATTCGGCCTGTTAGGGGCTTTAAGTTCGAAGAGATGCTAGTATAAAAAGAAGGGCCCGTATTCATAGTCGATGCTCAAGGTTGCGTCTTGGCTCAAGTATGACTTGAAGCCATATTTGCTATACCAAACAACACGGAATGATGCTCATAACTGTCAAAAATCGGAGCTTGAGCCAAGCACCCGTCTATGAATACCCAGGCCTAGAGTGTTGGCGCTGTCAAGCACTGGGAACTACCCTGGAACAGTCGTAGCGTGTAGATGCAAGGATATCACACGTGTAGATGTTGTATTTGTTTTAAATTTATTAGGCTAATCAAAAAAAAAAAATCGACAAAACTCCACAAAAATCAATGGGTTTCGTGCGGCATGTGACCACATTGGAGGGAATATAACCGAAAAATTAGTGTATTTTTGAAATGTTGCCGTCTAGCCCTCCTAATCCTTTGAAAAATTGTTTCTAATTGAAATATAATCCTTCCTAGGAAAGTAAATTGTAGACTAGGGTCAAAATACCCTCGTATTGTGCCGTTGTAGGATGTAAAAACAATGCCGCCGAAAATACAGTATGAACGTAAATAAAAACTATTAAATAGCAAATCAAACAAAAATATAACTAAAACACCTGAAAATATCAAAAGACGAAAGCATGACACTCCAACTCCATATAAACAAATGGGATAAGGTTAGGTTGTCTCAAAGATGATACACACCTACAGGTCGGGGATTCTAAAATCACGATTCGACATACGACTCGATATCGAGACGATTTTTCCGACGATTCTAGGTTAGAAATCTCATTGGAATTATACCTTTCGACACGACAAGGCCGGTATCGTTGTCGAGTCGTGTGTCGAATCGTGATTTTAGAATCTCGGCCATCGATTCCCTGCGTTTTTATTCTCATCAAATTTTACCGATGGATCCACCATTCTATGGCCGTCATTGTCATTATCCATTCACTAAACAAAGATAGGTTACTCACCGGTGAAGTCACCGATGAGAATAAAAACGAGGGGATTGCTTATCGGCCTCGTTTTTGGTAATCGCCACCATATTGGTGTGTCACCATTTCCGACGTCATAACTAAGTCGTCAGCTGTTTAAACAGCCTACGTCAAGGCGAGAAATAACCTGCTGCCTACGTCACAACTGGTGATTTGGCGGGGTAGGATTTGCTTCACGCAGACCTTATGAGGATAGGCTATCCTGTAGACTGTAGTAGTAGTGTGTATCATCCTTGAGCTTGTCTTACCTCCAGTGTCAATCTAGTGACGTCACGTGCACGAAACCAATAAACAACAGCAGAAATAAATGAAAAACAACAAAAATGCTTGACCGAAATCAATAAATGCTATTGCATCTTGTTTGACACATATGTGTAACCTAACATTAAAAAACAGAATACACTACTTGGTTAATTATAAACAATTTTTGAGAGAAAACAACTTTTTAGACAAATTTTTTTTTGAGATGATGTTACCTATCTGTTGATGTGAGTGAATTTTTATAAAAGTTAGGAAGGAGAACAGGTTTTATTTCACATTGAATTCCTATATTGCAGTGTCTTGAAAGCAACGTTATTATGAGAAAAGTATCTCTCATTTTAATGATTTCTTAGCTAAACAATAAGTTTTTTTCAGTAAGTGGATACTTTTCTGATTTCCCGGCAGTGTTTTCATGTTTTGGTTACTTTCGATTTATGATGGTAATCGTTCATTAACTAGGGGGAATACTGGGAATAGAAATAAATCGCTGCGATATGCATAAGTATATACGTTTTTAAATGGTGGAAGAGGCAACATTCGCCTTATCACTAGTATCAAATAACGACAACCGCATAATGCCGATATCTTTCAATTTAGATGGGATAATAGATACCTATATGACGCCACACAAATTGGTGAGCGTCATCACTATTTTTTCTCAACTTTCCAACTCTTATTCAGTAAACCCTTTTGGCGCATTTTTTTGTGCATCGCTTTTGGTTTTTGATCCAAAATGCAAACCAGCGACAAGGACAAGGGATCAAAACTCAATTTTACGAACAAAGGATATAATTATGGTTGGTTAAAAATAGACACAGTAGGTACAGTAGATAATACAAATGACCTCCAAAGTTTGTGATTCTAATTAAAAATTTCCATAGGATAAAAAAAATTTACCCATTGATCGATTTATTTACGATTATTAAAAAAAAACGATTTTCGAACAGTGTCCGTCATATACATCATGCCACCTTAACCTAAAATGACTTACCTTCTCAGTGACTTTGGGTCCTTTTTTTGCTCCCTCCTGACTACCCGCATTAACCAAAGCGAACAATCCTAGAAGTCCCACTAGGGCCACGCACACTATTTTCGTCATTTTTCTCTGACGCGACCACAGCCTTTGTAACTTGCAGAAGAACGAAAAGTGTCTGCTGACGTCGTAGTCGTTCTTGTCCATGTCATTGACATCTTGACATTGGAACTTGAAAAGGCCGCTATTCTTGCCAGTGTTGCCGATAAATGAAAAAGTCCGAAGTGATCCGATTTCTTCAAATTTCATTACCATTTTCCACCTGTTTTCAACCTTTTCTTTCGTGTGGTTTTAAGAATTAGAATGCAACCTACCTACTGGTTACTTTATGACTGCCTTCTCCGGTTGACTCAATGACTACCGTAGTGTATTACTTTTTTTAATTTCTTACAACGTTTAAAAAGGATGCCAACATTTAGAAATTCCTAGCTGTATCGGAAAGCACTGGCAACATCGCAGAACTTAGGGATTTTCATCAATTTCTATTAACTAAATTCGGGTTCTATTTTTCGAACCGTTCTAGGACAGTTATGGCCGTTTCCAGCAACTATTTTAGGGGAGCCTTAACGATAAGTATTCCCTGAAATGACATTTTTACATGGAGAAATGTCAGTTTAAGGAATACTTGTTAAGGCTCCCCTAAAATAGTTGCTAGAAACGGCCTTATCAAATGATTCGCTATTCGCTGACAGCGCGAAATTGCATTTCAAGTTAGTGATGTTTACTTTGATTTAAAGATTATATTTTTTTTTATAAATCAGCTTTTCTTTATTCTTTTTTTAATGAATCAAAAATACAATCTGTCAAAATTCAAAATCGAACTCATGTTGTACCACATGCATGTGTAGTTGTATTCCTTTCAAGAGTTTAACACTCGAGCTACTCCTCGCTCCGGTGTTAGTTGCCTCCGATTTGAAAGAAAACAGATGTGTGGTGCTTAGATTGCAACAAACACTTCTCGAAAGCGAAAGGAATAAGCGCGTAACGCCCGGAGCTGTTCCGGAGCTCATCCTAGGTGTGAAAGGAATACAACTATTACCAAATAGTCCGAAAATAGTAATTATTGCTCTATAGCAGGAATTGATTCTGCCAGTTCTAGGACTGTCCCAGAGCAGTTCTGACTTTACCCGAACGCCAAACTTCTGAATCCAGAACCGTCCTCAAGTAGTTCGATAAAACGAACAGAAAAATTTTATTTGCGCACACAACTGACAGTTCTAAAAGTAGTAGGCCTAGCCTAAGAGCCGTTTTACACGGCAAAGTTTCTTTATGAAATTACTCACGAAATTGTTGCCGAAATATTTCGTAAAAGTCAACTTTTCCTGTTTACACGACAAGAAAAACATCGACCGAGCAGCGGTGTGGGTAGTGTCCGCTTCGTATGTTGATGCTCCCGGGTTCGAGTCCCGGCTGGAGCATGGTTGTATTTGCCAGTGATGTTTGCCTCATTAAAGGGACAGACAAATTGCTAATGTGGTTCGGGATCCACTATAAACTAGTCCAAAGCCGCATTCTTTCGCAAAATATTTGAATCATGATTCCGAGATCCTGATCCGTTCGTTCAGATGGAACATGTTTCATTTATTAGTCCGAAAAAACACTGTCACTGATGTGTCACTGCCAGCTGGTGCTTTTCCTCTATTCTCTATTTTTTGAGTTGGTTATTATTATATTTTGCAGTTTTTTGGTTTGCTACGTTTGTTTTTCTGTGCTTATAATAATGGACGAGCTTACAAAATTTATATTATATATTATTGCAGAAAGCGCAAAAAGTAAACAAGAAATAATTTGAAAGTTGAGGTTAGATTTTCGCGATCGGAACAAACTAATCACAAACAAAAAATGTTCAATATGTTCAGACTTTCTCGGATCATGATTCGTTAACTGTCATTTGCCAAAATGCGAAAGAACGTGATCACTGGAACATAACGCGTTTTGATCAACTGATCCGGTCCGAAAGAATACGGCTCTACTATTTGAAAAGATGGCTTCGATCTTCTTTTGCGGCGATTTTCCATCGCCGAAGGAATTTATGAACGCTTACGTATGACCTTGGCAGTTTTTGAACGCGTTTGGGTCATTCCGGTATAAGTCTCACCCAAGCTTAAGGGTGGATTTTCATGCATCCGTTTGTCCGACGAAATATGTCCGAAAAATCTTCTATTTTGACATATTTTTATACGATTATGTCAGAATAGAATGTTTTTCGGACATCTTTCGTCGGACAAACGGATGCATGAAAATCCACCCTAAAGGTTAGTACTCATAACTGCGAAATTCGCATTTTTTTGACATTGCGTTGACAATTTGACGTTTTATGCGTGTATCAAACGTCAAATTATCGAAGCAATGTCAAAAAAATGCGAATTTCCCAGTTATGAGTACTAGGCTTTAAGCCTAGTCTCCATAGACGCGAAATCGCGGAAAGCGAATTTTTTAAGTGTCATTTTTTGGTGGCTATTTCCGAGCAAATTATTCCCATGTCTCCATAAGCGCGAAATTCGCGTTTTATTTAACAGGTTAAGGTTATGTGTTGTTGTTTGTTTGTAATCAATTTGAATTCGATTTAAATGCTTTGAATTTCAAACACTAATCTTTGAAAACCATGAAAGTGATTACTAAAAAACAAAAAAAGATATGTGCCTTGGTGTTGTCTTAATTACATTTAAGGCCCTATTATAATCTTCCTCATCAACCAGCAAGCTGTAATTTATGTCTGTTTTCGGGTCTACAATATTCAATTCTTTGGCAGTATCCATTCTTTATTAGGTATCTACAAGTACAAAACACATCAACGACTCACAGAGAACAGAGCACATACCGACAAAAACATAAACAAAACTAAACTGAAAGTAACACCACATAACCTCAATTTTTTTTGGCGAAATTTCGCGGAAAGTTAAAAAATAGTTAACTTTTTTGCGACGCCGCAAGAAGTTAAAAAATTCGCGAATTTTTCCCGCCATAAAAAAATCAAATGTTAAATGTCAAATTCCAACCAATCGGAAAATATCCGCAAAAAAAAATTCGCGATTTCGCGTCCATGGAGACTAGGCTTTAGGCATGCATTTATGATCCGTTTTTAATACTGGATTTACCATAAAGGGTGAGAAACGGAAAACGAATCGATCATAATTATCTACCAATCTGCAACAATGAATTTCTTGCAGGGCTACTGTTGCGATGCCAGAGTCTAGCGGCGATACTTCGCCGTATATTTGTTCTTTCAATATTGAATTTTGGCTACGTCACAATCTGTTACAATAGCAAATTCCAGAGTAGATTGGAACGAGTCAGATTTCTAGTCACTCAGAGCAAAGAGAGGGGTGACAAGACTTGATTATGGAACAAAAATTTTTCTGTATTCTATTCTACCACTGGGCCAACTAAACCAATTGTATCAATGTGGCATTAATGTTATTTATAGAACGCTCTTTCCAAATATGATAATTCACCACTGTTCTATGTTGAGAAATGAGTCTGCCTGTCTGTATAAAAAGGAAATTGAAAAGATCTTTTTTCTTGCCCAGTTGCGAGTCGCGTCAAGTCTACCGCTGGCGTTTCGAGCCCATTTTCATGTTTTGATAGTCTATACGTTCACTAGACTATTCCTCAAAAAAACATCAGTAGGGAAGAAGTCTACTATGATGGAAAATAAATCAAAATGGCTTATATTTTCATGCTTCTCGAGCCTTTCTAATTCTCAATAGTTGAATTTCTAAAAATGTAGATTATCATAAAAATAAACTCCAATGTCCTTGCCGCGAGATGACCTTTTCTCACAGCATATCCTACAAGAAAAAGTGTAGGAACGTTTAGAAAACTTCATGCTCCTCTAAATGAAAAATTCTTGGAAAAAAAAAAGATTCTATATCTGGTGAACAAATTAAGCCAAAGGTGAATTTAAAATCAAATTCTTGGAAAAGAAATTCTTTACTTCTGACATCTTGATATATAGGTCCCTGTCCATCATAAAACGGAAAAGTCAATTTTAATGAATAGTAGGGGCCCTGAAGAATTTTACGTTTTGACTCCAATAATGTCCACAGAAAAATACATTATATGGGAGGTACCTGCCCTTCAATAAGAAGAAATCATCGCGCCTACCTGACATACCTTTACAAGGATTATGGTTGCTGTTGAGACATAGGACAGAGCCGAATCTTCTGGGACGATTGATATACACAAAATATAAAAATAGCTATTTTACCTACATTTTTCTATTTTTTTTAAAATTATGTTTCAACTTTCACTGGGGATTTCGTTTACATGATGTGTTCGATTAAAACACACCCAACCATGAGTTTAGACTAAGAAACTCAATTTTTACTACTATCCAAAACAATCTTGATTCTTGAGGTTACCCTCATATCAGACTTCAAATGAGAAAATCAGATAGCAGAAATTGAGAAAAACGCTTATAGCTCTATCTATCTGATAAAGCATGCTTTCAAAGATCACTCTGTGGATTTCATAGCCAAAAAATATAAAAGCTACATAAGGCCCAACTTAGAGTATGCGTTAACAGTCAAACACTTATAACATTAAGGAGATAGACAAACTATAGATTCATAGATCAGATCGCCTGCTATCAGATATTTACTGTGATACAGTATAACAGCATTAAGCTTATATGTGATGTGAGAAAATGTATTTAAAATTTGTGGAAACTAATGCCTAAAACACTCAAACAAATTCTTCAAATTAAAAACAAAATATATTTCAAAAAGTTAACTAATAAATTTCACTTGGGTGGCAAACCCATCTTTTGTCTAATCAAAAATTCTGGATACCGTTTGCCCTTCCAGTATCTTGGAATTACAACTTCATGTAACTTATATAATTTCTGTTTCACATAGTCATTAGCAGAGAAGGATTCGGCCTCTTTGCATTGCTGAATGAGGACTGCTTGAAATGCTTTCTCTTTTCTTAGTTCTCGTTTTTGTTTGAGCTTAAATGATTTTGTGAATGTTAAAACAAAATTTAAAAAAAGCTTAACAGTAATTTTTGGGAATGGAAACTGTGATCTAACTTTGCCTTTATTTTGGTGGAAACATTTTAAAATTGGTAAACCAAACATCAATTTAAAACCATAGAACTTGGATCGAGATTTTGATGGTTGTCACAAAAAATGATCTTGTTTCTCTTGTACACCACATAAAAGGAAGTTAAAAACACTTACTTTTGCCCACTCAAATTTCATCTTCTTTTTCAACTTTCTCAATTTATGCCTTTTCATTTTTTTCCTTCTTATAACAATCATTCTAACAGCTTCTTTAGGGGTATCAGCTGTTTCTGTTGAAGGGGCTATAATCTCTCTTGGTATTTTAATGCGGTCAATCAGTGGTGGTACCCATGTAAGACCATTGGGCAATTCTATTTTTTTAATAATATTTCTAGGAGATATTATTTTATCATTTTGTTGGTAAATCCAAGAATTTAGTGCGGGTATACAATGTACCCTTGGTATTTGTATTTGTTGTTGAGTGCACAGACATTTTTTAATTATTGGTCCCAGATCACCAACAGCTTCAAATAATATTTATTTTTTAATTAAATGTATCTGTTATTTATTGATAAATGCTTACCTTTCAATGAATTTGAGCTAAATATTCTGGATAGAAACATTTTATTATAAATAAAGATTGCAAGGAAGGTTAGAATATCAGCTTTGTTTTGGTGCGAAATTTGGAACGGGATTGCGCACAAAAAATAATGGAGGACTGTTCTGATACATTCTGAACCAAAAAAACCAAAACAAGTCGCAAATCACAAAATTCCAAAACAGTTCCTTCTTCATAGCAAAAACTGAGAGAACCGTTCTAGAACAATCCCAGAATTGTTCTTATATGGTTCTAAATAATCCAAAACGCTGTCAACACAGTTCGATTACATTACAGATCTGTTTCTACTGAAATCACAAACCAGTCAGAGCAAATTTCATTGGTTGAAAATAGTCAGGACAGTGGTTGTTGGCGATTTTGACGAATCAAAAACGCTCTGACTGGTTTGTGATTTCTATGGAAACAGACCTTACGATTCTGAAAAAACGAAAACGCTTTTTATAGTGCATGTGCAGATCGATTCGGAACTAGTTCCGAGTGAAACCAAAACAAAGCCATTGCATGTAATGAATGTTAATGTAGGTATACATACCTATGTTACATACAGGCCCTTTGAGGATAGGCCATCCTGTAGAAGTAGTGTGTATCATCCTTGCCTATATGAGGCGATTTTCAGCCTGGAATGATTATTTATCGGTAAATACCGTGGTTATTCTTTTGGTTGACAACTTTGACAGCCAAGTGTGACGTCATAGCCCCCCACCATTCAAGAATCATAACCCAAGGAACTGACCGCTGAAATGATTTGGTTATAGCAGTGTAGGATTATGTTTATTATTCTTATTTGGTTTTTCATTTCAACAATAGTTTTTTGTTTAGGTACAAAAAATGGAGCTGAATCTCTCGTTACTCTCGTTTATCGAACAGATTTTCTTTGGGGATGATCTAAACCTCGATCTAAACATGGTGAATTGCAGTGAGTGAGTGAATGTATACTTCTTCCATTGTGCCAGGCTACAACGCAACTGTAAAATCACAAAACACCAATACATATTCCAAAAATAATAACAATAACATCAAAAAGCTGTAACCAAAAGATTAACCCAAGTCCAAAGCTGGGTTATAATACTTATAATCGGTTATAAGTGGTAAATACCAAAAGCAAATCAGCTGATATGTGACGTCACAACTTCCCCTACTTTGGTTAAAACCGCGACGGCGGAAATGCATTGGTTATAACCAAATAATCATCATTCCAGGCTGAAAATCGCCTATGGTAAGTATATTTGGAATCAGAATAAAAAAATCTATCCTAGCCAAAAATATACAGGTTGGTCCCAAGAATCGTAAACTAACAGGATTGCTCATCCTCATAAGGCGTATGTTCGCCAATCTCGAGTCGACAAGGCCTGCGAGTGACGTCCACTACTATCAGCAGCTTATAGTGGTGACGTCACCCGCAGACCTCGAGATTCAGGCTGTACTTGTGAGTAGATTTTTTCGTCGATTTTAAATGTAGAAAAGGTGACTTCAATAAGCTTATAAAGTTTAGGAATTCGTTTTTTTGACCTATTGTGTTCAAAACTCGGTTAATGCATTTTATGCCAACAGAGATGAAACCCCAATAACACTTTCTAATAGGAGTGCTTATTGAACTGAAAGTGTCTGCCATTTCAGCTGCAAACCTCAACTCTTGGTGTAAAATGCATTAGCCGTGTTTAAAACACAATAGAGAGTTCTCGTGCTTCAGACGGTACGCTAATACGGTACCGCTAACAATACGGTATTTCACATGGTATTTTATAGTTCTCGGACACGAAGACACAAAAATCCTCTAATCCCTTATTCTGTTTACATTTTGACAGCTGAGTTGAGTGCTCTAACCCAACTTTTTTTTGCTTGTTTTCTTAAATTATTATTTAACCCTTATTTAACCTGAAGATTCTGAGTTTGAATAATTTTCCCTTGGTGTTTTTATGGAGGAATTATTAGAAGTTGCTGTTCTTACAAACGTAAATGGAGCGTAGACTAAATTGGACATATCATAGCGTTACGGTAAGGCATCCGCTAAGTCCTGTTAGATAGCGGGCTCCGCTAACGCTAATACCGTAAGAACTGTCATACTTGTCAAATAGCGTTACGGTATTTGAAATTTGGACACCACGAGAACTCTCTAATAGGTGAAAAAAGCGAATTCCTAAACGTTATAATCTTGCTAAAATCACCTTTTCTACATTTGAAATCGACAAAAAAATTAACTTACAAGCACCACAACCTGAATGGCAAGCAACCCATCAAGGCCTGCGGGTGACTTCACCGCTATAAGCTGCTGATAGTGGTGACGACACTCGCAGGCCCTGCCGACTGGAGAATTAGCGAACGTACGCTTTAAGGCCGGGACAATCAAGTTCCGAAATTCGCGGAAGTTTGATACATGCATAAAACGTCAAATTATCAACGCAATGTCAAAAAAATGCGAATTTCGCAGTTATGAGTACTAACCTTAACTCAGAAGTACTCCAGCAACAGTTTGACCCGTTCGGTATCAAGCGTTCGAGTGCAAAACGCATGGAGAATGAGAGGTCACTGAAAGGTGTGAAGTGTTCTAGGAGCTTCGCACTTTGCACCCGAAAGCGGCTCGAATGCCTAATTTTCTTTTGACTTTAACATTATTGAGGTTATGCTGAGTGCTGCTGCTTCTTTAGCTGGGTTCGGCCTGCACACTCCGTGCACTCCGAGTGACTCCGTTCGCACTCCAGCCGTTGTCTGATTCGTTAAAAGGCAATAGCCGAACGGCTGGAGTGCGAACGGAGTCACTCGGAGTGCACGGAGTGTGCAAGCCGAACCCAGCTTTTATTATGGTGGGCTACTATCCTTGGGGCTACAGGCTATGGGACGGATTGCACCTTTTTGCACCCAAGCTTGAGCTGAGCTTACAGTGGAACCCGAATCACTAGTGATTACATTTCACTATTTCAGGCACTTGTTTTACCAGAAAAAAAACGCATCAGAAACGACCATTGCAATCGATACCATATCCGTCGTCAGAAAGAATCTGCTGTAGAAATTATATCCCAACATACGACCGGTGCAAAATAACAGCTGTCTTCTTTCCACTTTCACCTGTGTCACCTCCATCTACCCCACCACCAACACCACACCATTCTCTCTACTCTATAGCCTGCCATCCCATCTCATCTGTGGCGTGCTGTTTTGTACTGTCTGTGCTGGGAACAAATGACCATAGTGCAATTAAGTTTTTTTTTGTTAGAAAATGGGGCAATTTTAAGGTTCTAATTTTTGTGAAAAGCTACAAAAAATACACGTTCAGGAGTCCGAAAATACCAAAATGACGACGGAGGAAAAATTTAACGCTGCCGTAAACGTAATTAGAAGCCTCCCGAAAAATGGTAAGTGGCGAATTTAATCGAATATGGACTTTGTTTTAAATGTTTGCACCGTCATTTACCAATGTTTTCGCGTAATAATATAAGCATGAATGTTGAATCCTTTAAGCCTTTTAATAGAATACACACCTCAACTATGATAATAATTATTATTGTGATTTTAGTTGGACACATATTTTTTTGAATTTCGCAATAAATATTTTCTAAATGTCAAATTTACATGATCAAAGGTTAAACTGCATTTACTTTTTAAAACAACCAAAATCAATTTTATTTAGGTTCATATCAGCCCAGCAATGAACTGATGCTACGTTTCTATGCTTACTTCAAACAAGCAACTTGTGGGCCCTGTTCAGGATCACGCCCCTCATTCTGGGACCTTGTTGGTCGGGCTAAATATGATGCCTGGAAGAGATTGGGTGATTTGTCCAAGAACGAGGCTATGACGAAATATGTTGATGAACTTCATTCGTATGTGATTTATTCTTGAATTATTAAATTTTAAACTTAGCCAACTTTTTAGTATTGTTGAGACTATGAGTTATTCTGATAAAGTTGCCAATTTTCTTGAAGCTCCCACCAACGAGCTCGATGGAATTAACTTTGATGATTTGGAGCTAGTAGCTGGGGATGTATTGGAAAAAGTTCGTTCCCAGCCTAATTCTCCTTTAGCTTCCAGAGAAGGTTCTCCTAGTAGATTTATTTCTAGCCTTTCATCATCACGTTCAGCCTCTCCAACCATTCCTGTAGAAAATTCTGATCATAGTGATGACGAATACATAGATACTATTGAGGTAAGCTTTCATCAGCAAAAGAATGTAGGTATAAATACTTTGAAGCATGACTGCATTTTTTGATATACCTACCTACTCAACAGTATCGGTACGCTTATGTCAAATATACTCCTGGACAAAATTATCGCACCACTGCTTATGAAGTTTATGTGCAGTGGTGGTGCGATAATTTTGTCAAGGAGTATATAATTAAATTGGAACTTTTTTTTTTTTTTAATTAGAATTTAGAGCCCAAAAAACACTTTCTTAATGGTTACATTCCTACTAATGAAGATCAAGAGCCTATTTCCTCTCCAAACGACCAGAAAATAGTTTCTCATTTCTCCAGGGGACGCACACGTTCCCATCAGCATAATCAATTAGATATCTCTCAGGAAATAGCTAAAACAATTGAAAGTTTAAAAGCTGATGTTCAGAAATTAAGCAATCAGGTAAGAATATTATTTATCAAGAAAATAATGTCAGGAAAAAATTAAATGGAGAACATTGTCTTCAGGTTGCTACAGTCGAAATGAACAATAAAAAGGTTTTATTAAGAAGAAAATCAGGTGTATTTGCCAATTTACAGCCACAAACAGTTGTTTTCATAATTTTGTGGCCGTTTATAGCTAATTTTATTTTAAACCGATGGATTTTGAGGAAAAAATAACTATGGAGGTAGTGGTTCTAGTGATATACTATCGTGATTTTTACATTTGTTGTCGCTTTATAAGTTAAGTATAGTGGTGTTAATCATATTTTAATTTGTTTTTTTTTTATTATTGTTAATTATTTTTGAATTTTATAATAAATGGTTTGGTAATTTATAAAAATAGGGTACTGGTTTTATTTTTCGATTGCCTAAGCCCTTTCTCAAAGTGCTTCCAATTTCAAGCACAAATTCCTCTTTATTTTCAAAATTGCTTCACAGGCACATCAAAAGTGCTTCGGGTGCCTTAGAAAGTGCTTTGAAGCTCTTTAAATGTGCTTGAAGCTCTTTAAATGTGCTTGAAGCTCTAAATGTGCTCGAAGCTTTTTAAATGTGTCTAAAGCACTTTTTTTTGTAATACAATTCTCAAAGTTGCAGAAACTACCGCATACACTCATCAGTTGAATTAGAATTAGTATAGTAGATATGGACTTTAAAGTTTAGAGAGTAGCAGTAGTATTTAATTGGTAAAATTGGTAAAAAGATTGGTTTTTTGTGTCGTTTGAGGTACAGGCAGTCATCACATACGAAGAGGTTAATATTCAATAGTATAATAAAGCCACATTTTGATAACTGTGAATCCTTGCTTTTTTTTGGAAATAAGACTGATGTGAATAAATTACAAGTGCTTCAGAATAGAGGAATGAGAGTAATTTCAAATTGCGATCATTATGAACCAATTAAAAATATGTTCTTTAAATTGGCTTGACATTAATTGTAGTTTCAAATATCAACTTTTGCTTTTCATTTATAAGATAGAAAGATAAAACATGCACTGCAGCCTCCATATTTACAAGATCTCTTACAAAGAAATAATGAAATTCATAGATATCATACAAGAAATCAGTACAATTTTCATCCATGTACAATAAAAAATTATTCAACCTCCTTTGGTTTATTTGATATGGGTTTGTTATTGTATAACTTGCTGCCTAAAACGACTCTAACGAGTTAAAAACTGGATCCTTGAATAAAACAAAAAAGGCATTAAAAAATAGAAAAAGTAGTCCATGACTCAAAGAGGAGTTGAAATTTAATTTCAAAGAAAAACATCCAGTCCTCCTCCACAAGTATCTCGTTATTAAAAGCCCTACCAGTTTCGAAACTAGAAAGTTTCATCTTCAGGGGCAAAAAAATAACTTAAATCAGCTCAGATAGTCAAAAAAATGTATAGTTAAATAAACCGCCGCAGTTAGCATTGTGTGGAGAATTTTTTTTTCAACAAGTTGAAGAGCAATTAAAAAAAAATTGAATAAATAAATTAAACATAACACCAAAACTGTAAAAATTGCAAAAAACATTACTTAGAACCAGAACAAATAAAACTGAAAAAAAAAACCAGAGCCACCCCTAGAAAATTTCAAATGGGAAGGGGGGTCAAGTGATACATCATTTTGCAGGGTTTTTAATTGCATACATTTTGGTACTAAATTTTAGTCCCTAAGTTCAACTGTTTTGGAAATATTGACAGTTGGAAATTGACTTTTTTGCTACTTTGACAGGCTCTAAAACCTAAACGGTTAATTTTAGAGGAAAACCGATCTTACATTCTTATCTTAGATTTTCATAAACTATCATTTGACACCATTTTTGAATTTAACCGGAGATTAAATTTTTAACCGAAATTTTTGATCATGGATTAAATTAAAAGTTGCTATCAAATGATTGTTTATAAAAATCTAATGAATGTGAGATCGGTTTTCCTCTAAAATTAAACAATATTTCCAAAACAGTTGAACTTAGGGATTAAAATTTTATACCAAAATGTATGGAATTAAAAACCCTCCAAAATGATGTATCACTCGAACCCCCTTCCCATTTAAAATTTTCTAGGGGGGGCTCTGGGGGCTGGGGGTTGAAAGAGGGAAGGTGAATTTTGCATAAAAACTCATCCCCCTTCAAATTATAGTTAAGTGTTTCAGGGATTTTTTCGAAAAGTTTTCTACTCCGAGATAATAGGGGTGGGAAGTTTTCAAATTGACACCCTGTACGTCTCCATAGAAGGCATAATTAAAGGATCATACATACAGCATTTCGCCACAGGTAATTCTGTGATTTCGCTGAATTGTACAGCATTTTGGAAGTCTGTTCAGCATTTGATCTTGTACAGCAATGCCGTTATTGTTCAGCAACATCACACGGGGTGCCCCAAAATTAGAGGTTAATATTTTAACTGCGGATTCTACATATAAAATTAGGATCAAAAGTTCCCATAAACAGGGGTCCAAAAGTAACCTATTTCAGAAATACAGGGAGTTAAAAAAGCTATAGTCCCGAATAATGAATGAAAATAAACCATAACTATCTATTTCCTTTTTAAACCACCACTACGAAAAGTGGATTAACGAAGTACTATTACCACTACCAATATCATAACAAGAAACAATATTGCACAAAAGCTATTCCGGAATTATTCACAGCCTCAAGCAGCAAGAGAAACCCGACTTTGAATTTTGGATCCCTATAAATCCCGGCGGTCGTTGATGACGTCATTGAAAACGCGTCGCAACCGGGATTCGTATGAATACCGGTGCCGGGAGGCTAGACACAGCGTACTTTTAAATATGAATATATAGGATTTAAATGGACTCCATTCATCCATCATGAAAAATTGAAATCAACGTATTTGATGTACCTAATAATAGTCATCAAATACGTTGTTTTCAGTTTTTTATGATGGATGTCCAATTATATCCTATATATTCAAATTTAGAATTAGCAAGAGGTAGGCCACAAAATGTTGGCGTTTTCCATATGAATATATAGGATTTTAAGAAGGTTGTTTGGAAGAGCCGGAAGAGGTAGGTTGCTTGATAACTTCAATGACGTCATCTGGAAGACCTAATTCAACATAATGCAAATCTCCATTATGGCCGTTTCCACCAACTATTTTAGGGGAGCCTTAACGATAAGTATTCCATAAAATGACATTTTTACATGGAGAAATGTCAGTTTCAGGAATACCTTTCTTGGATTTCGCAATCCAATCCTTGCTTCCGGCCATTCCATCCATCTTCCGCCATCCCCTGCTTTCCCGCCATCGCCATTTGCCAATCGCCATATTGTTATGAAATATCACCGGGGGTTACGGATAGGATGACGATACCGATACATCAGTGCCGTGCCGTACAGGTGTAGTGTTAGGTTAGTCAGGTTAGTGTCGTGAGAATTATAACGAATGCGGAGCGGAGAAAAAAAAAAGAGCTCTAGTGGTGGGCCCGTAAAGGTGCCCCTTTTCTAGAAAAAAATTAATAGTAGTAGCTAGTGCTAATAGATTTGGTTAGTTCAGTGGGGAACTGGGGAGGACCCTGTTCTCAATTTCAACTCAATTAGGAAAGGATGTCCGACCAGGAAAGCACAGAAGATGTACCCGGTAAGAACTTTTATTTCTATTTGTGATTTGTGATGATAAATCTATATTTATTTCATTAAATATGCAACAAAAAATCTTGGTCTAGATTTTTTAAACACTGTAGAATTAAATTCAAATTTCAAACAAGCAACTAACCTAACCCAAACAAATTCTGAAATTCCCAAAAAACCAGCGTTTAGGGTTTTGTCTAGTTCGTCGTAATAGGTGCATCTTCGTTAGCCGCTACTGTCCCAGAAAAAGAAAGTAGTCATTTGATCTGTAAAAATTATTATTTTTTCCAATCCTAACCTAAAATATTTTAATTTTTTAACCAAAAGTATCATTTGTATTATTGGTTCAATATCAGTAGATTACCGGTTGGAATGAAATTCAGTCTTGTTATTGTGCTATGTTATCAAGCTGGATTCAGAGCTGTGGTAACATCATACTTAGGACTTTTAAAAAATAAACTTATGTAGTCCGGCCATAAAACTTAAGTCGTTAGCCGTAAAATATGGTTCCATTTTAATTTTTACGTTACGGCTTATTATTTCTTCGTTAAGGATCACAAGATTCCTTACACAGCCGACCAAAAAACAGACATTTAATTTGGATTTTTGTTACATGTTTTTGATTGTTTTTGTTTTATTTCTGGGTGATTCGATTCTTCTTCAGTTCAGTTGCTTAAAATATCTGTAAGCAAATATAAATGTCAGTATTATATCGTTAGTCTCATCAATCACAGACTGTGCAATGCTCCAGAGAGGCCTGTCTGGTCTGTGTTGTTGCCAAGGTTGTTGCATTGCGTTCTGAGGGTAGTTTTAAGTTGAACCTTGATAAATGTGTATACATGTCATTCATACGTTCTAAAAATCCTCTTGTTTATGATTATACTGTATTAGGTAATGAAAAACTAGAAAGAGTGTCTGAGCAAAACGATTAATTATTTATTATGGGAATTATTTTTGATCCTGCTTTGTCTTCCTCAGAGCATATTTTGTCAAAAGTTTCTAGTGTTCAGATAGTATCGGGTTTTATTACAAGAAACACCAAATGTTTTGGTATTGACATTAGTTTATCTCTCTTTGATAAACCCGTACCCATCTTAGAATACGGCAGCATATTATTGTCACCCCAATACTATAATTGATGTCAAATTATAGAATTTTATCTAAAGCTGACAGAACATGTATTTTTTTAAAAAAAAAAAAGGAGCAATAAATTTCAAATAAGTGCATTTCATTAGCATTTATTCAGCATTTGAATATGGTTGCATTTGTGTTCTGTTGACCTTGCTCTTCCAGCTTTAGGGACGTTGTTTTTTCTCTACTCAATACATAGGTCTTTCCAGGTAAAAGCTTCCAGTACAAGCTGGTTTATTCATTGTTGGACACTTGGTTCTATTTTTGGTTCAAATGGTGAATCCAGCTTGGTCTGAGAAAATATTTTTTTACCAGTTATTGTTAAGAAGCGTATGCCAAATATTTTCTTGATCTTTTGCAGTTACCCTGAGCTTGCAGCAAAAAATGATTTTCTGTTGTGCTTGTGCCTACAAGTTTTCACTTTCTCTTCAAAAATTAAACCACTTATTGGTGCATTTCCCTCTTGTCGCAAAAACCACTATTACAAGGCTTTTTGAAGTAATTTGTTTTTTTTTCCTTCATTGAACAGGCTGTGAATTTGGATATTCTATAGTTTTTGCTGAAAAGGTAACTCCAGAACTTCTACTAACATTGGACAAAAGTTGGGCTTTCTTTCCAATGTCAACTAATTTACTCTTGAATTTTTTTTTAGTAGACGTCATGGTGCTTGGAGAATAAACACTGAAAAAGGCGTGAATTTCATATCATATAAATAAAATATAATTGGCGGCCTTAAACAAACAAAAGCACTAAAGCTGCCGACAAAGAGATTGCGGCATACATCAAAGTACCAAAAATCATGCTTCCCTAAACGGGTTTAACGATTTCCTTTGTTCGCATTATATAGTCGAGATATTTTTGGCGTTCACTTGTTAGCATAGACTGAATACCAATTTGGCTTTCACATTCACAAATTGTTTCGCATTGATAATTGGGAGATTAGAAATCTACTTAAAAATTGATCAATGAGCACTGACTGTTTATTTATTATATATGGGTAATTTCCCAATTAAAAAACAGTACAATTTTAGTAATATAAAATACCTAATTTCTACCTAACCTTAAAACAAATTAAATTATATTAAAATAGATCAAATCAAATTAACGTTAAAATTAAAACTAAATATAACCCTAGAAACCTGATCAACAATAACAATGAGTTGCAACACAAACAAAATATAAAATTTAAAATTTAAGTCTGAAATATTAAACAATATGTAACAGTTTATTTTTAAAAGTTCTTTGGTCGACAAAAAAGTCTAGAGTATCACAGTGTTGATTGGCAAGTCGAGCGGTCCTAGACAAAAATGAGTTTAAACCATAGTTGGTTCTATGGGGTGGAGCATTAAAGGAATGGTTCTGTCTAGTTTGCCGTAAAGGAACGTGAAGCTCAATTTTTTCAGTAAGATCAGGAGCAAAACTGTGGGAGTGCAGCAAGTTGTGGAACATTATTAGGTCCCTGTGAAGTCGACGAACTTGAAGAGTACCAATATTTAGATTGTTTTCCATTTCAGAATAGTTGATGTTTTCAGCTGTATGATGCTCTTTGAAGGAGATGTGCCTCAAAAGCTTATGCTGTACTCTTTCAATAGCCTGGATATGGACATCGTAATGAGGAGACCAAACACAAGAACAGTAATCGAGGTGTGGAGAAAGTCCTTAGTACAGCGCTTGATGAAACCCAGAATTTGAAGAGATTTGGAGACAGCCAATGATATTTGAGGTATATAAGACAACTGACTATCCAAAATAACTCCCAAATCTCTTATCTGAGAAACAGCATTCAGCGGACAACCATTCACAGAGTATACTCACTGGGTGGGGTTCCTGCCACGACTGAAAATCATTAGATGGCACTTTTTAACATTTAATTCCATTCCATTTTGTGTACACCAGCCAGAGAGACGATCCAGATTAGATTGTATTTTTAAACAATCTTCAGTTTTGTCGACTCTCATGTAAAATTTTAAATCATCCGCAAACATTAAAAAATGGGTGTGTAAAAAACAGGAGGAAATATCATTAACGTACACATTGAAAAGCAGAGGGCCAAGATGCGAACCCTGAGGCACACCTGATGGGACTTGGATTTCACATGACTTGTAGCTCTGAATACGTACTACTTGCGTTCTACCAGAGAGATACGATCCCAACCACCTTAAAAGCCTTCCATGGATCCCTTTCACAGCCAATTTCTGAATTAGTACTTCGTGGTTTACACGATCGAACGCCTTTGAAAAATCGGTGTATATGGCGTGTACATGATGCCCCTCCTCCAGGGCCTCCAACAAAAAGTCGGTAAATGTGAGCAGGTTATGTTCAGTCGAGCGGTGCGCAAGAAACCCAAATTGCTTGTTACTAAAACTGCTTCTCAAATTCTTAGCTAGAAAATCACAAACACGGCTTTCGAAGACCTTACGTATACAGCTTAGTATACTAATGGGCCTATAGTGATCAACTTGCGCTGTATCTCCTGATTTTAGAATAGGCGTAATAAAGCTAGTTTTCCAGAAAGTTGGGAAGATACCGTTTTCCAAAGATAGATTAAAGATGACATGAAGTGGACGTGCCAGTATAAAGCTACATTGTTTTAGAAGTCTTGGGGGAATCCCATCTGGGCCTGCACTCTTGCTGATATCTAAGGATGACAGTTTTACATAAATTTCAGAAATAGAAAAGTTACAGTTAGACAAATTAATATGACTGAAAGATGGGACATTGTGTGTAACATCACAGACCTTATCAGAGTACATTTGCGAAAAATACTCAGCAAACAAATTTACAATTTCGCCACCAGTTGAAGACCTGATATTATTGTAGTACATTTCAGAAGGAATATCACAATTTTTCTTTTTACTGTTAACTAACTTCCAAAAGTTTTTAGCATTAACCCTCAAGGAAGATTCAGTTTGCGCTATATAGCATTGATAACACTGATTCTTAATGATTTTACATCTAGCTCTTAATGCAGAAAATAACTTATAGTCCTTATAAAGTCCAGTTGAAACGTATTTTTTGTGTGCTTTTTTCTTTTCAATTATCGTTTCCTTCAAGTCCTGAGAAAACCACACTGGAAAATTTTTGGCAGAGTACTTTTTTAGAGGAACAAAAAGATCCACAGTTAAGTTTATAGTCAATATTATTCAAAACCAAATTTTAGATCCCATATCCCATTGGATCATCTTTTTCGATTTTTTTGTAATTGTTAGATTGTCACTACACAGTGACTGTGTTTTAGTTAAGATCAAATTCAAAAAGGCTGTTTTATATCTGTGTATTGTTTATACAGGGTGGAATTTTTAAATGGAATAAATTCAGTATCAGAAAGCCTGTTCCTATTTTCTAGAAAAATAAAAAAAACGGGTCCCTTAATTTTTGCTTTGGAACATTTTTTTCTGCCTTTTCATGGAATTTAGTCCTTTCTTAAGGGTAGCAACTACCCCCAACTTTTTTTTGTCAACTTTTTTGTCCTTTTTTATGACCATTCTAACGAGCTGTCACAATACATATTTTTACATTTGGAAAAAAATGTTGGGGGTGGTTTCTATCCTTAAGAAAGGGGTAAATTCCATGTAAAGGCCGGAAAACTAACCCAAACTAAAAATAAGAAAATGAACAAGCTTTCTGATACTGATTTTATTACATTTAAAAATTCCACCCTGTATAAGCAATAACAGATATAAAACAGCCTTTTTGAATTTGATCTTAACTGAAACACAGTCACTATCACAGTTACTTTACTTCACCTCATGTGGGAATGTGTTTTTTGATAGCTAAGAGAACACCACCTTCTTTCTCTGTCTTTCTTAACACAGTATATCTATCATCAAAGAACTAAGAATGACAGACACATTCACAAAGCAATTTTTTTGTTAGGGCTATGAAGTCATACTGATCAGATAGGACACTCTCATAAAGGGAGTCGATTCTCATTCACATTCTGATAATAAACATTAAATACATCACATACATCTCTACCAACAGGTTTGGCATTGACTAAGGTGCATGTTTATATATTTTCTAATTCTGTGATGGTGTTCTCTTCTTTGCTAAAAAATGAGAAACTACTGCACCCCTGGTCCAGACCTTTGCAAAATTTTCTTTTTTAATGCTGACCTTCTTTGATGCGTACAGATCAGGATGTTCAGATTGGTGAGGTTTGCATGGCACCTCTGGAAAACTGGCAGCTAGAAATCTTTGTAGAACCTCTGGTTTTGTTTCTGGTTTCAGTTTAGACACATGTAGAGTTACAAATTTAGATACTGCTTGTATGTTCTCATTCTTATCGTCTCCTCTAACTAAGAACCTTCTACCTCTCCCCCGATTTCTCTGCCGTGGACAGTTTGAATTTGTGCCTGATTCCAGTGCCTATGGCAGCACATGACTCACAGGAGTTGTTTAAAGGATCTCGCACACCTTTTATGGGATTTCGGCGATCGGTCGATTTTTTTTCAAATTTTGATATGTTGTAGAGGATTTAATTCTTAACAACCTTCAAATGGAACGAAATCTTGTAGGTATTACGGTCTTTGAGATATGAGGGTTGAAAGATTAACTTTTTGCGACTTTTTATGTGGAGAGTATACGAAATATTTTTTTATACTGGTGTTTATCAGTCAAAATATTGACAGGTTCACATATTTTACGCCACTAACAAATGCCAACTTGGGCTAAGGCCGGGACCGCACTGGCACCAACATTGGCCCCAGTGCGGTCCCAGCCTTAGCTTATGTTGACAATAACTTGTTAGTGATGTAAAATATGTGAACCTGTCAATATTTTGACTGATAAACATCAGTATAAAAAAAATATTTTGTATACTCTCTACATAAAAAATCGCAAAAAGTTAATCCTTCAACCTTCATATCTCAAAGACTCTAATACTTTCAAGAATTAAATCCTCTACAACATATCAAAATTTGAAAAAAATCGACCAATCGCCAAAATCCCATATAAAGTGTGTGAGGTCCTTTGCTACTTTTTGACCAAAAAATATGATAATGTTGCTTTTTATCAGATTAGGCTGTAGATTTGCTTAAAATAAAGAAGCATCCGTTTTTTATATCCTAGGAGGCGCAGATTCAGATCATTTATAGATGATAAATATTCAAATAGCGAGTCTTGGCCAGTAAACTCCAGCACTCAAGAGCTGACTTTTGGTTTGACTTTCATCTTTTCTCTTTGCTGATGGCTGGATTTTACTGTTGCAGGTGCTTTGGCAAATTCTAGCTTTGAAAATTGCCAGGGAACCATCCAGATATTTTTTTTTGGAACATCAGGACTTGTTTGTCATCAGTGGAAACCATCTAGAACTCAGATTTTTGTATGAAACACCTGTTTAGTTGTATTTTTTGTATTTCGGAACCTAGGCTAGAATAAGATAATTTCTGGTAGTCAAAAATATCTATGTGAATTTCAGATCCGAAACGATCTGGCGAAGAAGTGAAGACAGTTGGAAAACCTATAGAAGAACCTTGCTTTGCAAGCTCCAAAGAAGCAGTTGTTCAGGAAGTTATTTCTGATGATGACAAAACTGAGGAGAAACTGCAACCTACTGAGGAAGTGGAACAACTGAAACAGGTGAGAATTTATTTTATAATTCAAATAAATTTTTAAATTTCATGAAAAATAAAAAAAAATAAAAAATTTAGGTCCAATTGGATGAGGACAAAATTCCAGAAACCTCTGATAGTGCAATTTGTCAGCTATATACTAGCCAAGAAGAAGAAATTATATCAAGCACCAGTCAAGACCAACTACAAAATAAAGCTGGCGTTATGAACGACATCGCCATGCTGGAAGGAATCATATATACCAACCAGAAAATTGAACAGGAAATTGGCAGCAATGTTGACGAAATGAAAATTGACGACATTTCTGAAGAAAAGGAACAATCCTCTCCTTTAACAGAAGTAGAGATAAAAAAAGCAGGTACTATAGAAGGAATTGGAGTGGAAAAACAGGAAAACGGTTTCCACCAAGAAGAAAAGCAAGAAAATGGATTGGCACAGGACATGGAAGCAATTGATGTGAAAGAAAATACTGATGATGTGAAAGCAAAAACTGACGATGTGAAAGAAAATACTGATGGTGTGAAAAAAGATAGTGATGAAGTAAAGGAAAACTCTGATGATGCAAAAAAAGAAGAGAAAATAGATGAAACTGAATGCATTTCCGATGACGAACTGCCAGCACCACCTGTAGAGAAAGTTCCAGAAACTGAAGAGGTATCCGATGAAGAGCTACCTGGACCAAAGCTGGCTGAATTACCTGCTGATACTGAAGTGGTGTCTGAAGACGAGCTTACAAGCCCTAAAACCCCTAAGAAGGATGAAAAAGCTGACGAAATAATGGATCATGAAGTGAAAGAGAAAGAGAGTAGCAAACGGAAACATGGTCATCATTCCTCGGGATCGGCTACAGAAGGAGGTGAAACTCCTCCAAAAAAAACAAAAGAAGAGAAAACTGAAAAACAAAAAGGAGGTAAGAATCATATTATTATTCTTCAGTATTCCCATATCAATTACACACTTTAATCCAATATATTAGTCTAAACTTCTTGTACTAATTGTGGACACTGTCGATTGATCAAAGGTTTAAAGGTGTTACTCCTTGCTATTATAGATTCAAAAACTTTGTGATTAGTTCACCAGCTGTCCCTAATTACCATCATTGTAGGCATTCACTCGCTAAGAAGTATTATAATAATCTTGGCAGCATCATTATCTGTGGGTTATTTGACGGCTAAATACTTTTTGCATTTTTACACCACACAAATTTAAACCCTTTGCTTTTCAACTTACGAGCGCTGTCAAACAGCTGCCTTGTATCTTTTGGCAAATCCTGAATGAATGACTTCTGGTTTAAGAACTGACGAACGTTTTTGACGTCATTGATTTGTTTCAGTCAATTTCTATTTGTTGAAAAAGGAAGGCAAATTAGGTCAAAAGTATAAACCCTCATGAAACAAAGTGTACCTAAGCCAAGATTTTCAAGGTATCTCTACCTGAGGATGTTCTCAGATAACTTATGTAATGGATGTTCATAGATGCCTTATGGTGCAAGGATGAAAAATACTGTTTTTGAGCCAATACGCAGTCGGACTGTAATTTTGTCCAATTAGAAGAAAATATTTCGCAATGTCTAAATGAGGTCATTGTCATGCCAATTCTCGTGTCAGAGAAAAACGTTTTTAGATAGTTAAATTTAGCGGCCGAAAAAGAATTTCAGCGACCGCAAAAACAGTCCTGAGCGAAAAAAGCTGTCAAAATTGTCATTTTCAATGCATTCAATAATCCCATTAGGATTATTCTTTTGTCTTTCAACCTCACATTGTCAATTCTCTTGGTATATGTATCAAAAATTACATAAAACTTTGGTATTTTAGGTGATGCAGCAAAAACAAAACCCAAAAAACTGCCAGAACTTGATAAGTATTGGAAAGCTGTAGACGATGATCCTACAGATTTCACCGGTTGGACCTATTTGTTGCAATATGTGGATCAAGAGGTAGGTTTTCATTACTATTCAATCACTGACTGTCATTAATTCTCTTGTCTAAAAATATTTTTGGCATGCACATTTTTGTTGTGTGGGCACTATTTCTCATCATTTTCAAAAATATTGAAATATCTGAATAACGTCCCAATCTTCAGAGATTGAAACTTTAAAAATTCTTTAAGTAGAACCGTCTCATCTTTGTAAACAGCAATCTTGTTGGTTTGGATTTTTTCCATTTTCAATACAGTAAAAGCAACAGAAAAATAATTATTCAATGCCAAAACAAATGAGAGATGGAAATCGCCAGATAGACACAAATATTACAATAGGATAAATTCGATTCTAAAAAGCTCTTGGACATTCAGCAGTTATGAATACATACATAACGCTTCCTAGACAAATAACTACCGAATTAATAATTGTCATTGTCATTAATTGTCATTTCAAACCATGAATTAATTTTGATAAATCTTGACATTTTAGGTTTTAATATCATTTTTCGGGGATAATACCTACCACATAATACCACCAGAGCTTCAAAGTTACGGATAATTTTTACACGATTGCGTGTTTTCTATAATTTCACGAGTCCGTAGGACAAGTGAAATTTGCAAAGAAAACACGCATGAGTGAAAAATTATCTGGTCCATTTTGACCATTTTAAACCTCGATTGGTATTTAGAGGATTATTTCACGAATGAAAATGCAAAAAATATGTTGCTAACAGCGTCCATATTTGTTTGTATTGATACAAATAAATGGTTGCTAGCGTCAGCAACCGTTTGTATCAAAAATTAGCATGACAACCATATATACGATTAATATGGGAGAATATTCGCTGTCAATATTTCATTATTAATAATTATTATTATTATTTTTATTATTATAAGCAAAAAACCATAAGGGTCCTTTTGTAAGGGTAAGTTTACCCCCATAAAGTGTTTTACTGAAAAGGGACCTCAAGCCGGCGTACTAAATCTTCAATAAGCACCCTAAAACGCTATAATCTCAAAAAAAGCAACGTCGTGTAAATTTCTAGGTGCGGTCACCCATCCAAAAATGTCCCAATGAAACCTTTTGAGATTTTTTAATTTTTTTTTTTTAAAATTTTTTTTTTTTTTTTAATTTTTATTATATAAAGCAAAATGAGCTCTAACCAATCAATAAAAAAAAAGATGGCGTTCCCATTTAAAAAAAAGATCAATGACGTCATATCTTGGAGAGGATTTTTTTTTCCTATATCTCTGTGTAACTTTTCCCTACACGTCTTTTTATACCTAATTCCAAAATTTCATCAAATTCCATCGAGCCGTTTTCTCAGAAACATGCCAACACACATACATACACACATACATACATACATACATACATACATACATACATACATACATACATACATACATACATACATACATACATACACACAGACGGAAATGTGCCACCTTGCCAAAAAGGCTTAAAATGATCCAAAACGTCAAGATTTAATGAAATTTTGACATGGTCAAAATCGGGCTATCACGATAGCTTCCTATCTAGGAAGCTAATAAAGGCCTACATACTGTCATTTACTATCCAGTCACAAATAAGGACATTCTTTATTGTTTACTGACTGACACAAATTTTTTTTATAACTTCGCCTGCCTAGCTGTCAATATAGTGAAAATAAGGATGTTTTGATTACTGACCTACACTATTTGTACATGCCATAATTCGCTGTACTATTAACTCTGGCTGGAGAATTTTAACTTTGAATGCATTTCAGAATGACATGAAAGCAGCAAGGGAAGCCTACGATGCCTTCCTCTCTCATTATCCCTACTGCTACGGATATTGGCGCAAATACGCCGAATATGAGAAAAGGAAAGGCCACAAAAAAAAATGTGAAGAGGTAAGTGACTTTTTCATTGTTTTATCATTGTGTTTATAAAGTATGTATCAATTTTTTTTTTATATCATACCAAGAAGCCTGGTTTTTAATAAATTTATCAAAACAATATTGATTGTTTTTGGTATCCGCACAGCTCTTCCAGGGCCAATCAGGATTTAGATTATTAGAGTGGTGTCAAATTACATATTGTAGCCTATTATTATTAGCAAATAATTAAATATTACACTATAATTTTTATAGGGTTATCCAGTTCCGGTAATATTAACATATCACACTAGATTGAATATTTCTATAGAATTTATGATTGTAATACTCTAGGTAATACTATAACGATTATTTATTATTGTTATTTATAATTATTATTATTATTATTATTATTGTTATATTTTTATAAAATAATGGCCCTTCCTGAAAACCCTTCTTCCCTCACCCCCCAGCGATTCCAGCGCCAAAGGAGTGTAGGAGGGAGGACTAGCCTGGGACCTAGACTATAAAATGTGACATCACACGTGGTGGTTCCAGATGGCCTAAAGGGGCATATAGTCAGTACTGTTTAAAATGCTACTAACTTAAGTGGCTCAAAATGTAAGGGCTATAATGATGTCATAAAATAATACATATATATATGAATATATAATTATCGGTCTATAATGTTCTATGTCTTCCGACTCCCCATGTTCAACTAACTCTGTCGCACATTTCCTCTTCCACTCCACTCCTCCAGCTTCTTTTTAGTCTTTCCTCCTGGTTTCCTCTCAATGATTGGCTTGGTTATCCTCGTATCTGCTATTCTTTGTACGTACATGTCTGAACCAAATCAGTTGTTTGTCTTTGATATCATCTATTATTGTATGTCTTGTGTATAATTTACAATTTCTCTAATTCTCTGGTTTGTTATCTTCTCCATTTTTGACCTGCGTGCCGCTCTTCTCCAAAAGTCCATTTCACTTGTTTCCAGCATTTTTTGCGGTTCTCTCCTTTAGTGTCTACACCTCTGAACTATATGTAACTATGCTTTTGACGATGGTGTTGCATATTCTAGTTTTCTTTGTTGTGTCGATATTTTGGTCCCAAAGTACTCCATTTAGTAGGGATATTGTTTTTCGTTCTTCCATTCCTATCTCATCAATTATTGCTGTGTCTTGGGTTCCAAATGTTTGTATTCAGTGCATTGTTTTATTTCTTGCCTGTTATTCAATTCCAGGTTTTCATCAGATTCACTTCCAACCACCATTTCTCCTATTCGGCTGTCAATTTAGGTGTCATGTACTGTCACTAGGTCATCATAAACCTGTGCAATCAATACTTGATCATCTACAAAGCTTAGAGTATATGCCATGGATTGTATTCATTCATCACCATGTGTCTGCACTGCTTTTTCCAGTTCTTAAACGCTTGTTCTCTAAGTATATTAAAAAAAAAATTGGTGATATGCAGCATCCCTGTTTGTTCCCTAGTTTCTGTGAAGCCCTTGCTGATTATGCTACCCTGTTTAATCTCGGGTTTTGCGCCACTATAGCGTTTTAAATGCCTTTATTAGTTCTAAGTTAATACTAGTCGTTTCTAGTGTTTTTCATAGCTTTTTTAGTGGGTTATGGTCATATGCTTTTTTTAGATCCACAAATAGTGAGTTGATCGCCAGTTTGTTTTTTATTTTCTGGGCCACACTTGATAAGTGGTCTACTGTTGATCTTCCTGTTCTAAAACCGGCCTGCTCTTCTGCCTGACTATCTTTGTACTCGATTTCTGTTTTGATTTTTATAACTTTTCCTTATACTCTGCTTAGCGTTTTTATCAGTGCAATGCCTCTGTGGTTTTCGCATTTTTTTCTATCTCCTTTCTTATATACAGTGTGTTTATTTAAGTGTGCAACATAAGGGGGCCAAAAGTTGGTGCATGTCTGATAATCGTATTAGGTGCTCTTAGAATCTAGAACAGTATCAAAATTGTACTGTAAAGTACCCTTATTTTAGAAAATTCAGCAAAATGTTATCGAGAAAAGTTATTAAAAATTATGCCTAAATACCAAAACACACAACATGGCCTCCTAAGATTTTTTTTTTATTTTTTTTTCGAAAAACATTAATAATTCCTATATTTTTTTTATTTTATATTTCCGCCCTTAATACTTTCAAAAATTAATTAAAATCAAATCAATTTTACATATCTTTGTTGAAATTCAAGCATATTTGTAAAATTAACTTAGATTTTTAATTTTTTATGGAATAAGTTCATGTTTATTGCAACACAACTTAAGTATGCCGCAATTTTTTTTTTCAACAAGTTAAAACATTACTAATGATAATATGCATATTAAAAAAACTCTCCTTAAAGGGCAAAAGTTTTATTTTAAGTAAATTTTGCTGTATTTTCTGAAATAAGGGTACTTTAAGTACATTTTTGATATTTTTTGAGCTTCCCTGTATGTTGTTTACTTGCAACCATTCTAAGTGCACCCAATATAATTATCAGACATGCACCAACTTTTGGCCTTGTTTATATTTTGGTTGTGCTATTACAAAAAAAAAGATCCCATATGTCGCACACTTAGACAACCACACTGTATATACGTCCAGCTGTTAACTCAGCTAGGTACTTTTGCAGTGTTTGACAATGTTATATTACTGTTAAAGATTATTTACTGTATATTGTGCATTTATAATTTATCAATAAAAATGAAATATCAAAATATTCCAATACTTCATGTCTATCTATGCATGTTTGGTAGTTTTGTAGTTTATTGCTTTCATACTCAGTTATCCATAAATTTCTCCTGGGCCTGGCGCTCTTTCTTTTTTCAACAAACTACGCTGTTTTTAACTGCTTCCATTATGACTCTATTGGTGATCCTGCGGTTTTTTAGGTTTTGTGTCTCTTCTCTTTCTTCTTAAAACTCTGCCCGTTGTTAGTAATTCTTCGAAATACTTTTCCCAATTCGGGGTTGTTATTGATGGTGTGATAAATAATTCCCTTGGTTTTTGTTGTACTGATTCCAGTATTGTCCAACTTTCTGTGTTTATTTTACATCCCATGTAGGCATAAATATACTAACAGTTGCTTTCCCATGACTCGTTTTTTTGTCTGTACTTTTTATGTAATTTTATTATGTAATCTTGCTTGTGCTTCTTTATATATTTGTCCTGTTTTATTTGAATTTACTGTTGGTATTTCTTCCTTCTGTCTGCTATGTCTTTCTCGATTTCTTCATCCCACCAATAAGGTTTTTGTGTTCTTTCAATTCCTTCGTATTTGCCTACAGCTTCAAATGCTGCAATGTGAATACTTTCTCTGATATCGTCGCCCTAGTTGTGAATAGTCGTAATCCACGGTAAGTTGTGAGTAAACTGCATTTAAAATTTTTGTTTTTGGTGAAAATATGCTTTTTAATTAGCAAATATACTATAACAAGGTCAAATATTGATCACTGGCTTAGATCTATTCACCAACATAAAATTTAAATATTTTTAAGTATGTTAACAGCGAGGTTAACAGTCACAACTCAAGAATGAACATTTTGTGGATTACGACCATTCACAACTAGGGCGACGATATACTTGTTATGCATTTCAAGGTTTTGGAGATCACTCTGTAATTTTTAGTCCAATCTTTTTATGTAAATGATATCAATGTTATTTAATTGAAGCTATGAATTATTTTATAGAATAAATATGGCGGATAATGCGATTTTATATTTTTACATTATTATATAGGTATATGTTCTAGATTTTGGTGTTGGCTATATACTGTAACAGTTAGAATGTTTCTGAATTGTTGTTTTGTATCTTCCATAATTTCTGAAATTAATACAATGTAAATCTTGTTGTTTTTATTAGGTTATTATAGTGCGCCATCTACGTCCCAATGGAGAAGCAGCTGAAATTATATTTGCGAATTTGTTATATTTTACACACAAATTAGATTAGGTAAATATGTTAGCTTTAGTTTTGAATATTTTTGGTATTTAGGAGCCAAATTGCTTAAACAATTGATAGGAGTTGGATAACCACTATTGCTATTTGAACTATTTGTAAAGGCATTCTAACAGTTACTTTCTTTTCAATAATGATTATTTGAAGTCATTCTAGCACACTGGATATTGATTGATGTTCAGCCACAATTTAACTAAATAACATGTCTTTGATTCCTGTACCCACAGCACTTTCACACCTCTATCGCATTATCTGTCCAATAGTGTCTCTAAACTGCACCATATCTTATTCAAAGCGAATTTCTGTAGGTGATTGAACGGGGCCTTAAAGCTATTCCACAATCAGTAGATCTATGGATGCACTATCTGTCTCACATCAAGACCTGCAAAGGAGAGGATGAGGAATACATAAGGTAACAGCCCCTACCTTTTTTTTTTCTAAATAGCGTAGAGATAATGGGTTTAGGACACAAAACGAAACAAATCCCTTCAAAAAAATATGCCAAAGTTTCGACCATATGTATATATTTTGGTCTTTGCTCAAAGCTTACAGACAAAAATTGGCCTTGAAATTTATAGCGACCCAAAAAAATTCAGAAACTATTGCTTCAGAGGGAAAGCAACCTACGATATATTGACATGTTCTAGTGGGAATTATGGATAAAATAATAATTATTACAAAATAATAAAAAACCTTTAGAACATAAACAACAGAAAATGAAAAACACAACTACAACAATAAAATACAATTAAAACAAAATTATTTGGAGTGGATTATTTTTCCTGGAACTCTCTGTATATAACGCAACTCATACCAAAATACTGGGGGACAAACATATATTATATTAATATATAGGTGCGTTGGCACACACAGCTGCGACTAAGCAGTGCATCATGCTGTGATGCATTTAAAAATTTACAGGAATGTCTGGGCTTCTCTTTCCTCTTCTTTTATAATATGTATTGCTTAAAAAATAATTTCCTAGGTATATTTGAAAAAATGATTGCTCAATCTTTGGTTTGTGAAAATTAACTCAAAAAAACGTTGCACGTTAGTAGTTTTACTCTACTGTATCTTTGAGGCTCTTTTTATAGTAATTTATCTGTAGGTCTAAAATTGATGTGTCTTGGAGGTTAAAATTATAATTTGTAGAAAAATGATGTTGGGCAAGGGCAGTTTTTTTACTTTTATCAAGATTGTTATTCCTGCGAAACGATGTTAGTAAATTCGGTGTTTTAGGTATTGTTACATAGCATTTGTCACAATTAGGACAAGGAATTTAGTATACTACATTTCAAAAGGCTGAAGTTTTGGCTCGATCCTGCTTTTAATTTTAATGAAAGGAAATTTGAAATGGGTGTTAATTGTTTGGTTCTAATTTAGTTTAGGATTATCGATCTCTAAGCAGAGGGAAAATCAGTGAATGGGCTCTTTCACTAAAATTCAAATACATAATTTAAGCATAAAATCTTAAACGATGGACTATTTAAGGTATATTTCCCAAAAAAAAAGGTTAAATGAGTGTTCTACAGGCACTTCAAAACTGGAACAATTTAAAATAATTAAATTACGTCAGACAATGACGTATAAGCATCACACCAATCAAATTAAGAAGAGTGCTCAAGCGACAAAGCGCAAACAGCTGTTGCGGTTGCCGCTGGTAAAAGGAATGATGCGCTGTTGTCAGTTGGGATTGAATGTAGTTCGACGTGAGAAAAAGAAATTAAAACTTAAAAAAAAGTAAGTTAAAATTGTGTATAATAATAGTTTTTGCGAACATTTTGGAATTAAAACTATTACAAATTTTTAATGCTGACAATTAGTGGCAAAACTGCGAAATTGCCACTGGTGACGTATGGGGCATAACGTGAGTGTTTTTATTTAGAGAGTTTTCTTTCTTATTTATTTTCTCAGAAAGGACTCTGAATTTTTCGAAAGTAAGGGTGCAGAAAATTCTATTTTTAGTTGCTTTATCCAATTATGTACAGGGTGGCCCAAATTCGAGCCTCATCATTGGGATCTCGGAAACCGTAAGAGATACGGGGTCGATTAAATTATGGCAAAGTTGCGCAATTTTACGACGAATAGAATGCCGTTTTGAAATTAGGAAGATTCCGAATACTTCCGGAGATATTCGGAAAAAACCGAAATTTTGTAAAATCGTTTTTATTTTTTCCCGGGCTTATTTGTAGAGCAATTTTAAAATAAAGGTCACTTCATCGTTGTCACTTTTTCCCCTTTAGAAGATGGTGCTACTAAATTTAAAATCTGACGTTTCGTCTTCAGGCGGCCATCTTCAACTTATTTTTTTTAAATACGGACCTGGATTTTTTATTTGCAATTTTGTGATCTTTGGGCATCTTTAAAACGATACTGTTTATAATTTTTCAATAACACAGTAAAAAAAGCAGGTCCGTATTTTAAAAAAAATTAACTGATGATGAATCCAGAGGAACGAAACGTTGGATTTTAAATTTATTACGGCCATTTTGTAGAGAAGAAAAAGTGACAATGAGAATGTAAAATTAGTTTTTCAAAATCTTTTTAAATGAAATCAGGAAAAAATTTGGAAAATACGAGAAATTCATGTTTTTTTCGTATAGTTTTGATTTTTTCCTGATTTTATTTTAAAATATTTTGAAAAACTAATTTCTAATTCCCATTGTCACTTTTTCTTCTCTACAAGATGGCGGTATTAAATTTAAAATCCAACGTTTCGTTCCTCTGGAATCATCAACAATTCATTTTTTTTAAATACGGACCTGCTTTTTTTACTCTGTTATTGAAAACTCATAAACATTATCGGTTTTGGGATGCCCAAAGATGACAAAATCGTAAATAAAAAATCCAGGTCCGTATTTAAAAAAAGTAAATTGATGATGGCCGTCTGAGAACGAAACGTCAGATTTTAAATTTAGTAGCATCATCTTCTAAAGGGAAAAAACTGACAATGATGAAGTGACCTTTATTTTAAAATTGCTTTTTAAATAAGCCCGGGTGTTTAATTGTCTTTGAAACTTGTGGACTGTATATTTTTTATTTTGTTCAGCTCAAATTCGCCAAATTCGGGGAGGAAAACGGACAGGATTTTGAAACATTTCATTAATTTATTGACAACTTGACAACTCGTCAACTAAAAACTAACTGGTGCTAAAAGATACAGAGTTTTCAAAAGCAACTTGAATCAAACACAAATGTCGGGCTTTAACATACCGCCACCCTTGAAAGTACCAAGTACTTCTCAACTAAATCGACACATATCGCTATCAAAGTTATAAAAATGAATGAATATAAAAACTAAATTAAATAAATATAAGTACCTACAAATGTTTAGGTATTAATGTAAATTTCAATGTAGATTTCAACATTAATCAATATAAATAAAAAATACTAATTAGTACTATTCGTTAAAAAATATTTAAATAAATAAGAACATTCTAGCAACTGCATTAAAGTTCGAGTCGGAAAATGTTTCATGTATAATCAAACATTCAAAAATTAAAACTAAACCTAATTCTAGAACTCAGATGGTAAAACACATACGCGGCTAACAGCGCGACTAATAACACCACCGTTAACTTTAAGTTCAACGACACGATTAATGTTATCCCTTCCCGGATGTAGGGACAGGACTCTTCCCAATTGCCAATTCATAGGTGGTATATTGTCGTTTTTTACCAAAACCAACGAACCAATTTTTAACAAATCTTGGGCATTTTGCTTCCATTTATTTCTTGTTTGTAATTCTGACAAGTATTCTTTTTGCCAACGCTGCCAGTAATGTTGAGACATAGCCTGAAGGTGTTGCCATCTGGTTAGACGTTTGACAGGAACATCCGTTAAATCAACTTCTGGAAGATTTGTAAGAGGTCTACCCACCAACCAAAAAATGTCCAGGTGTTAATGCCGAAATATCGTCCGGATCTTGAGTAAGTGCACACAGTGGACGCGAGTTTAATATACATTCAATCTGAGTCAACACCGTGGCAAACTCTTCAAATGTCAATCGAATTTCACCCACAACTCGTTTAATATGGTATTTTGCCGACTTTATCCCCGCTTCCCATAATCCACCGAAATTAGGTGATGAAGCCGGGATAAAGTGCCATTTAATATAGTCAAGAGATAAATTATCGCTGATTTGAGAAGTATTATTTTTCAAAAACTCATAGACTTTTTGAAGCTCAGTATTAGCGCCTCTATAGTTGGTTCCATTATCAGAGTAAACATTTAATGGTTTACCACGTCTACTAACAAATCTATGAAATGCTGCTAAAAATGCCTCCGTGGTTAGTCCAGACACCAGTTCGATATGTATGGCCTTTGTGCTCATACATACAAAAAGACACATGTAAGCCTTAATTAACTTCGCACCACGAGTTTGCCTATCCTTAATTAGGAAAGGACCTCCAAAATCAGTGCCAACATTTGCAAAAACATGATTAGGAGTTATACGAATTTCTGGCAAGTTACCCATTAAATAACTTTTTTGATCTCTTGGAGCAACACGCAAACACTTATAACAAGTTCTAACAACATTCTTACAGGCATTTCTGCCATTAATAGGCCAATATTTTTCTCGAACAGAATAGAGCAAATTTTGAACACCACAGTGTAATAATCTTTCATGTTCATTTTTTAGAATCTGTTTCGTTAAGAAATGACTATCTGGTAGCACGATAGGATGCTTACCTTCAAATGATTTGTTTGAATTTTCCAACCTACCCCCAACCCTGATTATTTTGTCCTTCAAAAATGGATTAAGAGAAAGTATTTTGCTTGTTTTATCTATGGGTTTATTTTTACTCAAATTAGCATATTCTTGAGGAAAGCATTCTATCTGAACATGCCTAATAATATTATTTAAAGCATTATTTAACGCTTCTGGAAGCAAAGGGCCGATATTTCTATCGTCTTTTTTAAGTTTACTGTTAGTTAAATATCTGAAAATATAGGATATTACTCTTATTGTTGTTCTGAATGCCGAAAACTTTTTTAGAATCCAAATTATATCATTACTATAATTTATCGATAAATTACACAAAGTTTTTGGTTCACAAATTTCTGTAATTTCCATTTCTGGCTGACTAAGATTCCATTCTGACGCATTCAACAAAAACCACTCTGGGCCATACCACCACAAACTCGAATTCATTAAAGCTTCAATAGAAATGCCTCTACTTAGAAGATCGGCTGGATTTTCATTAGATCTAACATGATGCCAGTCTTCAAAATTTGTAAGTGACCTGATTTCGCTAACTCTATTTGCAACAAATGTTTTCCATTTGGTGCTTTCATTTCTGATCCAACAAAGTGTAATTGTGGAATCAGTCCAAAAATAAAATTTATTAAATTCCAAATCTAAAACACTTATTATTTTTTCTATCAAGTTCGCGAGTAGTACGGCACCAC